ATTCTTGTTTATTTTTCATTTCTCTGCTACACATAGTTTGAGAATTTGTTGATACAGAAATGTCTGAACTTTGATTCATTGTAGCCCCCTGAAGAAGTCTTCAGATGGACACATAACAATATATGTTGCATTTCTCCTGTCTTTTGTGGATTCTCCTACATCAGTGGTTCCCAACCTTTGGACCTCCAGGTGTTTTGCACTTCAGCTGCCACAGTTCCTAACAGCTGGTAAACTGGCTGGGATTTGTAGGAGTTGAAGCCCAAAGGTTGGGAACCACTGTCCTAGATACTCTCCAATTTCACCTTTAATTCCAGTCTAGTAGCATCTGAAATGCTGTTTGTCCATTTTATGCCATTCCCTGTTCATTAATGTTATATTTCTGAGATTTCTTTATATGTGAATGTAGTGTAAATTTTGAACTTAAGAAATTTTTGTGATGGCTGCCATATGAAGTAACAGTATGGATAGATATTGAGCTTTCACTTTAAATAGAGTAATTGAAAATTAAAATTAAAAAACATGTGGTAATATCAACAGTCACAGTCATTTAAATTATTTAACTATTAATTTCTTGCATGGTGTATAACACATAGAGAGAAATGTATATTGCACGTACACACACACACACCCCAACACAGATGCACACATGAATTTTAAAAATCCATTAAGAATTCCATGGCAGACTTACTTTTGTATATACTTTCTGCATAGGAATGTGCCTAAAACTGCATAAATCAAAACTCTGCTTTTGATTTGCGAGAGCATGTGACTAAAGTGCCTAGTTTTCAAAAATGCAGTAAATTCTTGCCAGAAAGTCCTCTGTTTTGGAGCTCCAAACTGCCTGTTATGCAGATCTCCAGTTACTTGATATAAAAAAAGCCACATGTGGTTTGGCAAAAAGGATATTAATGTAGTTGTTTTGATTCAGATTCTCTTGCAATTTGCAGTTTTCAAAAATGTAACTTTAGAATAAAATACTACTTATTCATTGTAAGGCTGTCAAATAACTAATCTTATAGTAAATCTTCCTAGTGCCAAAAATTGTGATCATTTATCTCTCTGGCTGCATTCAGAACAGAAAAGTAAAAAGAGACTGTAAAGCCAACACTTAATATTTTCTGCCATGCTAAAGTTGCCAGGAAAGTTGTTGCCATTCTGGCTACAGCCTGCATTGCCCTTACTTTACAGTACAAATGATACATGAGAAAGCATATCTGGGGTACCCATTACGAATTAAATAGCAAAATCCAACAACAATATTCCATATCCACAAAAACAACTAAATACATCTTGCAGGCTTTCAAAGCTCCACTAGCTTATTCTTCAGACAAAGTTGTTAAAATCATTCAGAAGATTTATTTATTTATTGTATCAGAAGCGAACCAAGGGTGCAGTTGTAATGTATTTTAACAACACAAAGTTTAAAAACTTGGCATTATATTAAATGTCCTTTGACCAATAGCTGGCCACTTGGAGTGCCTCTGGTGTTGATATAGGAAGGTCCTGCGTTGTGCATGTGGCAGGGCTCAGACTACATTGTAACAGGTGATCTATGGTTTGTTCTTCTCCACACTCGCATATCATGGACTCCACTTTGTGGTCCCGTTTCTTAAGGTTGGCTCTGCACCTCATGGTGCCAAAGCATAGTCTGTTCAGTACCTTTCAAGTCACCCGGTCTTCTGTGTGCCCAGGGGGGAGTCTCTCATTTGATATCAGCCATGGCTTGAGGTTCCGAGCTTTAGCCTGTCACTTTTGGACGCTTGCTTGCTGAGGTTTTCCTGCAAGTATCTCTGCAGATCTTAGAAAACTATTTCTTGACTTAAGGCGTTGGTGTGCTGGTTGATATCCGAGCAAAGGATGGGCCAGAGATGTCACTGCCTTGGTCCTTTCATTATTGGCTGCTAATTCCCGACGGATGTCAGGTGGTGCAGTACGGGCTAAACAGTATAACTTCTCCATTCAGAAGATGAAGAAAAATGATGATGTTAGAGTCACAAGCCTACATTTGTTGGATCACAAGAGAAGTTACTTTTCTCTTACTAATGGGATTTAAATTGAATTGCCTGAATTTTTCAATGAGGGAGATCTATTTCATTGCACACATTTAATAAAAACTAAATGCATCTGTGCTTGTGATCAAGACTGTCATAACTCCTGGTGAGTGGTTTGTTTTTGCTTTACTCTGTTAGGAAGTTGCTTGAAAGGGGGTGATAACAATTGCTCCCTGAAGACATTTTCACATGCAACAGTTATCGCCTTGGTTGGCCATTGTGTGACACATCAGCCCCTTTTGCATACCTGCCTTTGATAGATGTATTCATTAACCATCTTCATTGTATCAACACACAAAGGAAGTTGTATTTGTGGCTGAAGTCTGAAAGTCTATAACAGCAGCTTGCTTGCTCCCCACTCTGTTAAAAAGGATTACACAGTGAGTGCACAAGCATGGTAGAGACCAGATGCTCTTTGACTGATCCTTGAGACAAATTGGGTTTTGTCGCCTCTTATGAATAGAAATAAAGTAGAAAGTAGCCTTGAAAATATAGTTTATGCTCCCGCAGGAGAGGTTCTGCATATAAATGCCCTGATTGGTGGATTCCCTGTGTTGTATTGCTCAGTAGTTGCCTAGTGATTTACATTTACTTAGTACCAGAGAACTTGCAGAATTTATGTGGTGTTTTCCCTCCTGTTGTCAGTATTGTTGTGTCTGTATCTTGGCACGGTGCTGCGCTTGTTACCCTAAGATGTGTTTTATGTTAGTGACATTTATATGCTGAAGCAATTAGTACTTACAAGAAATAAAAGTAATAAACATTTATATAGTTCTTAAAAACAAATAAGCATCTTGTTTTAAGTTGGTGCAATAAGAATGAGCCACAGCAGTGTCTCCAACTTGTAAAGCTAAATATCTTGGTTAAGAGGACCGTGGATTTGACTGCATAGAATATAATCTAGAATATACTTGTAATGTTTTTGCTACCGCCATGGTTCTTTTTCTGTTAGCTCTGATTTTAAGAGAGTTTTGTCTTAACTTTTCACTTCATGCCAGGATAATGATTGTTAAGTAATAAATGAATTTTAAAGATATATTACAAAAACATATTTCTTTCACTTTCCAAAAAAAAAACAACTATACTTACTGCTCAGCTGTAAGACTTTTGTTTCATAAACAGTATGTTTGGGCTCTGCAAGCATTAGCTGAACAAATAGCTGCTAAATCAGAATGGGAAAACAAAAAATATTCTTTTACATGTGTTTGAAAGACAGACTTATTCCAAGGCTTCTGAAATGTATCCTTTTTTACTTCACAGCTTTTTGTATGCTCTCTGAATAAGTTTGTATTCGGTTTCTCCATAGCTGCTTTTGTGTCCTGGAGTCTGCAGTGAGTAGCACTGCCTTGCTTGCTGTTTAGCTGGCAGACCTCCTTCACAATACAAATAGAAGGGTTGTCAGCTGGTTGAATTGGTGAATTACCCAGTAGCCTTTCACCTTTGGGTCATAGAAGGAATTCAGACAGGATTGTGAATCAAAAACAAAAAAAGGTTGGCAGAGATTGACGAAGTAGTACTGAGAGAGCTAGCATCATCTCTTGTGTTTAAAAAGTTGTATTGCAGTCCCAACTGATAGAATTAAGAATTCTAAATAATTATGTCGTGGAAAACTTGGGTCTAGTGCAGAAATAGGGTGAAACATAGGAGGCAGACTTCTTGGAAAATTCTGGTTTGTAGGCAACTAATCTTTCCTCATCTGTTATTCACATGGCTAGGGAAAGTGGCCTGTCAATCATAACTCCTGAACTAGGGAGTTGCCTGGAGTATTCATGGATTATGCATGAGTTTCCTCACCCCCACAAAATTTTCAGATGTTACATAGAACATGACAGTAATGATGCAGAAGCAGCCCAGGGCTGAATGGATTGCCCCAATATCCAATTCCCCAATGCTTTCACTATGTATTAATGTAAATAAGTTTATTTTTTCTCCAGAAGCCATGTCAAAATTGTGGCTTGTAGTTCTGTTTTTCTGGACACACTGTTTGCACAAATCATAGTTTGTCTTGTCAAAATGAAACTGCAAACTATCATTTTTTCAGATCTTGGAACTATGGGAAGAAGTACTGCATTAAGATACAGGGAGCATATGAATGCAAAGTTTCTTAGTATAGGACCACACCATGAGTTTGATGTTACCTATGAATCAGTTCATAGACAATCCAATTGAAATATTTGTAAACCTGAAACAAGTTTTTAAAGTATTATCCCTTGGAACATCAAAATGTATACTTATTAATAAAGTCCAGTTGTTTAAATAGGTATTACGAAACATTTATATTTCTAATAATGTTTCAGAAATGGAATATTAATAAGGTACTATTTTTTGTGCTCCTTACATTTCGGTTTGGCAGGGAATATATGGTCAATGCATAACCTTAACAAAAATATAAATATGTGTACATTTACATGCCTGAGACATTTTTCATTTTATTTTACAGGGATTCTTTGAAAAATTCCATTCCATTTCTGGAAAATTCAGTGGTCCAGCAAAAAGGATAATGCTAAAAGCACAGATCGCTAATTCTGCCCACATTTGAGTGATTGTTCAGGTATGTCTGATATAAACATTTTAATTTACCCAAATCTGTAAGCAGCAATGTGCGGTGCTTACAGTGAACTCTGCAGAAAGCTATACTCTAAAAGGGGAAATCACCCTATGTAGCAAGTCCTGCAAATGTTGATTTATGAGCAAATGTTTGATTTTCATTCCCACTTTATATACCTATATACCCAGGGTCACATAAAAAGTTCTTAAAGGGAAAGGGATTGTGAATGGAAAAAGTTTAAGTTCTAGAATAAATATGTCAACAAAGAAACAAATGGTACCAATATGGGGAAGTTTTTATTTCAACTAAAAAAATTAAATAAGTATATTTTCTCACTAATGATCATTTTCAAAAGTGCACATGTTAATAGTTAAACTCTCTCCATTTTCTTTCAGTGAAAGATGGGTAATTCAGAAAGCCAGTACAGCCCTCAGGGAACGAAGAATGTTGGTAATTCTCTGCCTGGTGCCAAGCAGAAGCCTTGTTCGCTGAAAATCCGTAGCATCCATTCGAAAGATGAGAAATCCGTACATGGATGGGGTCATAGTACCAATGGCACAAACTACAAATCCCGATCATTAGCCAGAAGCTGCCTCTCTCATTTCAAGAATACCCAGCCTTATTCTTCAAGACTCAGTGATGCAACAGCAAAAACCTCTAAGATTAGCAGCCATGCCAAACACCGAACTCACACCTCAGAGAGTTATGACCAAGAAAGTAATAATGCATTTTTGCCCGAGAATGGTTTCCACTATATAGATATTGAACCTACAAACGACCATGTTGCTTCCAGGGAATGTAATGGGCATTTCTTAAATTGCTATGGAAAGAAAGAGAGCCCCCCATCAGATGACAGAATGAGTCCAAAGGTTCTCATTAAGACTCTGGGGAAACTAGATGGATGTTTGAGAGTTGAATTTCACAACAGCAGCAGCAACAGCACAGTTTCCAGAGAGGAATCTACTGGACCAGTACAACTCTTGCGGTATTCACCTGCTTCAGAGTCTGAAAAAAATAACATACTTGAAGGGAAAGAAACATCTAGCACAGATTATCCTGGAAGCCATCGGCTGTCAGCCACCGACTCAAGACTTAGATCCAGTAAAGGGAGCTCCATTAGTTCAGAGTCTTCGTGGTATGATGCTCCATGGGGCAATAATGGGGATATGAATGAACTGGATGGGTCGTACATGTCCAGGAGCACTCCTGATGCAAGTATCCAAGTCAGTTTTCCCCAGAGTGACTGCAAGAAACCATTGAACCAAAGTTCATCTCTTTCTTCCCTACGTGATTTATATAGGAATTCAAATCTTAGGAGCTGCCAAGCTTCTGATATTGGGCTTTCTGCAGATTTCATCAATACTCGTGCTGGTTCAAGCAATCGTGTTTCATTTACCTCCACCGTAGATTTTTCTTCTGAGGCAGAAGAACACAGAGGACCTCTGCACTATTCTTCCTATACTCTCCCCTGCAGGAAATCTTCAGCACTCAGTGAGGATGCAACAAAGAAGGAAACATTAAAAAGCCGTATGCGGCGGATCAGTGATTGGACAGGAAGCCTGTCAAGAAAAAAGAGGAAGCTACAGGTATGTAGTGATTTCAGCTGAAGACTTAACCTTTCCCTTTAGTGTGTATGGTCAGTATAAACTTCTTGTTTAGTTAATTTGTTTCATTGTTGTTGTCATCGTCGTCATTTGACAAGATTTTATCTTGCTATATTTCATTCATTTCAATATAGTGCTCTGAAGATAATACTGATTGGTCAGGTAAACTGGTGCCTGGATATTTTTATTTTATTGAGGAGGTGGAAGAGTGAAATGTCTGCCTAACCTTTCATTAAGATATTTTGCAAGTGCTTTATTCCTTCTTTATGTGTAAATATACACACGTGCGTCCACACTAATTAAGAGCCAATTGACATGCTAAAAAGTTTAGGATTTCCGTGTTGATAGGTGGATCTACTGATAAATTTGTAATGGAAAAGTGTCAGCTATCCTGGCATTGTTGAATTGCCATTCCCACGAGTGCTCAGTATTGGGCAGGTTTATTTATTTATTTATTTACAGTATTTATATACAACTTTTCTCACCCCTAGGGGGACTCAAAGTGGTATACACATAGCTGGCAAAATTCAATGCCTTATATTGGACACTGACACAATGCCAATCCATAACAGTTACAATAATAAAACCACAATTAAGCATAAATCATAATTAAACAGTACATAAGCAATCATTAAAACAATAAATAATAAAAACAGGTTGACTGAGGATGATACGAACGCAAGTCCAGCAGTATCCAAAAATAATCTTCAGCCCCATGACAAACCTATTCTTAATACCAAAAATGTGGGGTTTGGGGGATTGAGGTTCTCACATGTCCTGGGATCTTTGTGCAGATCTTGCTCAGATCTTGCTCAGCACAGATCTTGCTCAGCAAAAACATGTGGATTCTCATTTAGACAGCATATTAGAAACAAGGATTCAGCAGGGTAGATAACTTGCTAATCCAATTTTTTCACTGTGTTTGAATATTTAAATCATCCCTGAATTATGGATTTTGGAAAACCTTTTTCAGAGTGGTTAGTTTTCAGTAAGGTGGTTTTTGAGGATACTATATGTGTAATAATGTCCTTTTGTTAGTCTAACTCTGTCTATAGCAACCTTTCCCTAATTGACGCCTGCAGAGTTGCTAGACTACATTGCCCAGAACACCAACTAGTTATGTATTATAGTTCGACTCTAAAGTATTTGTGAGGGATTATGGGAATTCTTATTTATCATGACTCGGGGCGGGGCGCAGGTTAGGGAAGACTTCTCCATAGTGTGGAGACCTAGCCATGGTCTACTTTAAGTTGCAGGGTTGCTAGACATTTTCATAGTTGTTAGCACACTCCACATTTTGTTCTGCTTTAACCAGAGGCATTATTAAGTAGCAATCTTGGACAGGAATTCACCTACCTATCCAGACTGCCTTCATGTGAGCTTCCATCTAGCATTGTGTGTCTATTTTTGTATAGCTATTTAATTTATCTTGTTTGTGTGAGCTTTTTCCAATGCATTTGCAAGGGGTTTGTTCAATGTTCTTCTCTACATAAGAATAACAACAAGACCCCTAAGTAGCCTGAGGTCAAAATATATAAAAGGCCAGTATGTTCCTAAATAAGCTAGTCCATGACTGCCAAGGGAGACTTGTTGAATCTTCCACCACTGTCTGAAGAAAGATTGATGGTTATGAAAGGATGATCTTCTCAGTTGTTGTAACCAAATTCAGCTCCTTAAGAGATTAGCATTCCTCCTGTCTGCAGATGTTGAAAACTGTTTTATTTGGGTCTTATTCTGGAATTGCACCCCCCCCCCCAGAATATTATCTAACTTTTTGAGACATAGTGTTATTTTACTAATGTTCTTTTTCATTTTATTTTTTATTGTTGCAGCTTCACTCTAGGAAGATGATTGGTTTCATCTTACTTGACATTATCTGACTCGCCATTGATAATGCTGAAGAGGGCATTAAGTGTGTGTGTGCACGCACCTATATGTGGCATAACCCTGTTTTAATCCCAGCTTTCATAGCATTCATTTTTCATATTCTGAGGGTTGCTTCTTATGATCCCTTCCAAAATAATGTTCTGTTGCCTGAGTAGAAAACAGACACATATCAAATCACATATGAAGGGTGCATGCAAGTATAAATAAGTATGTGAGATTGGGAAGTGGTTGAGGCTTCACAAGGAAAGAGATGTGGTATTTATCTGCATGTGCAGCCTTCCTGTCCTGTCAAATGCACATCTTCTTTGTGCTTGAACACTGAATCTGTCATGTGAAGTGGCATTTGCACTGCCACTGAATATGGACAGACGTTTGTAAACTAAGATATGGTGACAGGCTGTGCTGAAGAAGTATGTAAGAGAGCAAATCCATTGCATTGTTTCTTTTTTAGTGTTACAAACTGGTTTGTATATCACTTAAGAGATAAAAGTGGGATATAAATAAATATCATCACCATCACCACCCATGGCAAGACATACTCCATTACTGCCTTAATATACATTTTACTATCAGTTCTGTGTGGTCCCACTTTCTAGCCCTTAACCACCCTTGTGGTGCACACTTTTGTTGTATCACAATGCCACCTTGTTTTCCGATTGCTTCCCTCTCTCTGTCTTATCAGCATGGTTTTTTACCTGGAATGGAAAAAATCCCCCAGGTGGGGAGATGCGGAACAAATAGAATAAAGCCCCAGAAACAAGAAATTTCTGTATAGCATTGTGGTTTCCAAACAGAGGTTTTTTTTTCCTGTTGGGACACTTCTGTGTCTGTTCTGTTCTCTTTGTATAGATTTTGGTTTATACACATAGAAGAGTTTCAACTATGCCTATATTTTGAAATACCTAGCATTGTTCTCCCACTCCGGCAATAATAATCTCAGAGGAAGAAAGCGGTCCTAAAAACAGTCTATATCTAGGCTGAATATTCTGTTTGTGACAGTGCATACATACTATGCTCTTGGGGGCTTTTTCATGGGAAGAGTGACCTTTTCCAGTGACAGCTGCAAGCGTGGGAAGACTGTGCTGCTTTGGAGAAAGGTGGTCATCCTACCCCTAACATAATCTGTCTTTTTGAAACAACCTTTTTAGGGTACAGGCAAAATTATACTCTAGTCAGTGTTTCTGAGATGAAGACAGAAAATACCCAGTTAAGACTGGTTTGGTGTATGTTGTGCTGAGAAGTTTTGTTATTTTAAACAAAAATCAAAGTGACTCCTTTAAGGCTGTGTAAACATCAACAGAGGCAAAACAATTAAGACAATTGTGAGGATGGTTTGATGGAATTGTAAACAGCTGCTTTGGATATTTCTTTCGCTGCTTAATGACATTAGGTAATTGTTTACTTGTGACTTGTTCTACACAGGCACGTGTGCTATTTTAAGCATTTTAATAATAAAGTCAAGCAGAAATATGCCTTTCAGCTACAACTCTCTTGAAATTTTATTCAAAGATATCAATTTGGAACATTTCCCATAGTGGGAGTTGAGAGTAATTATTATCGCTTGCCATAAAGTCCTATAAATTACCATCTTGCAATGAGCTCCAGATAGACCAATATAGAAGCAGAAGATCAAGGAAATAAGAGCTGCCAAATTTAAAATTAAAAACATATGCAAAGCATTAAGTTCTGAATAGTTTTGTTCCTTGCCCTTATAAAAATTCCTTTATGTAATCACAGCTAGTGCAAATGGACAACACACAACTTAGTTGTAACAGATAATTATGCTTTCTGAAACAGCAGATATGATGTTCTGAAACTATGGGCATGATAAGTACCTTACAAATTTAAGATGTAGGTACTTGTACACAGTTAATGATATATGCTATTAATATGTACTTCTTTCCAATCTGGAATCCACAGATAACAACAACAACACTTTATTTATATTCCGCCCTTCTCACCCCAAAGGGGACTCAGGGCGGATCACAATACACATACAGGGCAAACATTCAGTGCCGCTTTGTATAGACAGAGACAGAGAGAACAGAAGGAGGTGTGTTGTTTTGACTCAATTTCCAGCTTTTCTTTGGTGTCATGGAAGGTTGGGCTCGAATCCAGTCACAGGGGGGTGCTGTTGCACTATCCTCTATGACGAAGAGCCATCAGGACTTTCTCCTTCCTTTTGGTCACCCAGCATTTTCTGATCATCTTTCTTTATGGTGTCGTAAAACACTTCTGGTCATTTGAAATAATGGATAGTTTTTAACAAAAAGAAGCTGTCCTTTGGTTTAAAAGAAACATCCCAATACTAAATGGGTAATTTTGCCCTACTAAGAAAGTGAACTCCCCTGGGGGACTTACATATGCCTTCGTTCTGCTGCTGTAAGCACCCAGTTGGCACAGTGGTCTTCTGACTGGGAAATGGGAGGCCTACTCTTTAAACGGTTTCTTTCCTTTATTGTTGCATTCCTTTTTCTGATTTCCTCCTCTTCCCCTTTGTGCTGGCAGATTCCTTCCCACCCCACCCCCTTCCACAAACATTACTTGTTTCCATGGTCTTTCCTTTTGCTACAGTGTCAGATCATCCTCTAGATGTTTTTGAACTGCAACTCATAGCAGCCTTAGTCAAAGAAACTAATATTGGAAGTTGCTGTCCCACAATATCCGGAGAGTCACATGATTCCCACTTCAACTATAAATTACTTTCCTCTCTTCCCCTTCTTCCCCTTTAAGATGTGCCCTTATAGACTGATTTCAACCTACCCTGAGGCTAGTTTCTTTCAAAAAGATTAGTAGCAAATGAAAGGATGCTGGGGTGCAGAAAACTATATTGACTTGTCATGTTTTGTATTTACTTACCAACTTTATTTATTTATAGACAGATTCCTATTAGAAATGTACACACTCACCCTGAAAAGATGTATTAATCAATAGTTTACAAAGTCTTATGAATACGTATGATGTGTTTATTGAAAAAAAGGAGAATATTGGATTTAGAATGCAAATCCTAGCAACATCAGTGGTACGCTTTTGTGCACACCTAGGAAGATGTTGGTCTTGAATCTAAATAAGTTCAGTCTTCTAAGCTGCCTGAATAAGATATCTGATAGAATCACAACTGATCTTGAAAGCTAAGCAGAGTCAGGACTGGTTAGTAATTGAATAAGGTATACCAGGTGCCATATTTCACAAGAAGGGAGTGTCAAATCACCTCTTGAGAATTTTTTGCCTAAGACAACCTCATAAAATTCATGGGGTCATTGTAAGTTGACAGATAATAAAAATAATAATACTTACTTTAGATACCACTCTATCTCCCTGAGGGGGACTCTGGGCAGTTTCCAAGCAACATCACCAAAACATACAGAGTAAACAGCACAACAAAATTAACAAAACAACATAATCATAAAATTATCACAATTACACACACATATATAAGAAATAATCCTGCCTGTTCAGAGCAATTAAAAGGCCGGGCTAAGGCTAGTGCAAACTCAAAATATGAGGGGACTGGAAATTAAGTACAGTACTATAACAGGCTAACAGCAATAGCAGGTATGGGTTTGTGGCTGCTCATTTCCAGGACCTATTAGAGTGATGACCAGGGTAATTAATAGGTAGGAAGTATAAGGCTCTTACGAAAGGAGGGGAGGGATGGGGCTTGTCTTATTTCCCTTGGAAGGGTGTTCCAAAGGTGGGGGCTCACCACTGAGAAAGCCCTCTCTCTCGTCCCCACCAACTGTACTTGTGACGGTGGTGGGAGCAAAAGAAGGGCCTCCCCGGGAGATCTTAGAGTTCGTGCCGATTCATAGAAGGAGATGCGATCACAAAAATAGGTAGGGCCCGAACTGTTTAGGGCTTTATAGGTCATAACCTGCACCTTGAATTTGGCTCGGCAACTTATCGGCAGCCAATGAAGCTGTTTTAATAGGGGCGTTGTATACTCCCTTTAGTTTGCTCCAGTAAGGAGCCTGGCTACTGCCCCGTTATACCAGTTGAAACTTCTGGGCCGTCTTCAAGGGCAGCCCCACGTAAAGCGCATTGCAGTAGTCCAGTCTGGATGTAACCAAGGCGTGGACCACACTGGCCAAGTCAGACTTCATGAGGTATGGTTGCAGCTGGCGCACAAGTTTGAGTTGTGCAAAGGCCCTCCCGGTCACCGCTGACACCTGAGCATCAAACGGTAGCATTGAATCCAGGAGAACCCCCAAGCTACGGACTTGCACCCTCAGGGGGAGTGTAACCCCGTCAAGCACAGTTTGCCACCCAATACCCCGGGCAGCCCCACGACTGACCAGGAGGACCTCTGTCTTGTCTGGATTAAGCTTCAACCTGTTATCCCTCATCTAGTCCATCACAGCTGTCAGACACTGGTTCAAAGTCTGGGAGGCTTCCTTGGAATTCGGTAGAAATGAGTAGTAGAGTTGGGTGTCATCTGCATACAGATGGCACCCAACTCCAAAACTCCGGATAACTTCACCCAGTGGTGACTTATAATGTCATAGATGTACAAATATGCACACACACACACACACACATCTGGCTGTCACTGCTTCAAATTATTCTGCATAGAATGTCAAATTCTTGAAATTCTTATATATTTTAGTGTATTAGTATTTACCAATAGAGTGCCAGCATGGTGTAGTAGTTCAAGCATTGGGCTATGACTTTGGAGTCCAGAGCTCATATTCCCTCTTGGCTGTGGAAACCTGCAGAGTGAGTTTGGATAAGTTCTCAGCCCCAGAAAACCTTATCATAGGTTCTTCTTAGAATCACCATAAGTCAGAAGTGACTTGAAGACACATGACAGAACAACACAACACAGTATTCCCATTTTAGTACTGAAAGATATGGATGAATCTGTAATATTTCAGAGTTGTTTCTGGCCCTTCTTGTTAAGGGCCACAAATGTTCTAGAGTTTGCCATTATGTTAAGAGGGTTTAAAAAAAATAAAGTACGCTTTTTTGCATCATGTGATGCTAATGTTTTGGTACTAACCAGGCTATTGTCATCGTGCAAATTTACTGGAGCACTTGCTGTTATATATATAGATGTAAATACTATTCTGTACTATGACTTGAACTTTCATGAACTTTCATTTGCAGAATGAAGCCAATTAGATTTCAGTGACTTGCGATACACTTTTTCCTCTTATCCACAGGAACCAAAATGTAAGGATACAACAGAATACTTTGAAGCTGGAGTTGAAAGTCTTTCTCCAGATACCCTTCTTGTTCCTTCCCATCTCATTGCTTCTCCTTGGTCCCATGGGTCTGGCCAGATCTTTTCCCAGAGAAGTGAATCTGCCAGTGGACTCAGTAGTGATGTTCTGAGGCAGAACATTTATGAGAACTTCATGCGGGAGCTTGACCTGAGCAGGACCAACATGGAAAACATGGACACTTTCACAGAAACAGAGGACTCGAGCAGTGAGTCACTTAGCTCCTTGGAACAGTTAGATTTGTTGTATGAGAAGGAGCAAGGAGTTGTTCGTAAAGCTGGGTGGCTTTTCTTCAAACCTCTTGTGACCCTGCAGAAAGAGAAGAAGCTTGAGTTGGTTACACGAAGAAAATGGAAACAATACTGGGTTACCCTGAAAGGTAGGATCCTTTTTTAAAATTCGGCTCATTTTTTATAGTGTTTAATCTTTCAAATCAATATCTCTTCAAAACATTATCTTCATAATAGAGTGTTTTATGGTTTACCTGTCACCATTATGTGATGATTTTAATAAGCTTCATCTTATTCACAGATATTTGTGAATTAAGGTCTACTGTCATATATAGTATTTATTGTACCTCTGTGTTAATACTCCTTGTCTGAAATTATCTGTTAATATTCCATAGTCTGAAATTCCTACAGGAAAATGCATGAGCAAGAGTCAGTCCATTGTACTTGAATGATCCTACCAGATGCATCTTGTTTTGTTTTGTTTTGTTCAATTCAAGCAAGAGAAAAATCCTGTCAAAAAAACCTGTGATATCTTTGCCTTAAGGTTTTAATAATGCCATTTAATCTTTATTTTAAATTCTGGTTTTAATGTATATATTTATTTTATGTCTTTTGTGTATATGGCATCGAATAGTTGTCTTTGTAAGGCCGCTCTGAGCCCTTTGGGGTTGAGAAGAGCAGGATATAAATATTGTAAATAAATAATAAATAAATTGGGGTGACCATACTTCAGAAATGATTTGCAGTCACAAAACAACAATAATAAATATTATACAAAAATATTTTTCTCTTCAATAGATAGGGAATCGGAAACTTCTATCCAAAAATAATGTTCCTAGGCTCTGTTCCTAGTTCAGATGAAAGGCTATACAAAGAATAGATGTTACTTTCTTGGTGAGGGATTTGTGCATATTAAAACATGCATTTAGAATAGTATAACTGAGAGATTTTCTTTAAATTCTCTTCTCTTATGTTTGACCTTCATTACATGCCAATGCAGAGGAAGGTAAAAGGAGAAGCAATATGTATGTGTAAATTCTGTGGTTGGGGGCACAAAATAAAACTAATTTTACTAGTTATATTATCTTGTCTGTAGAGTAAATATTGATGAACGCTAAAAAGCGATTAAAAAAAAGTTGGCGTCTCATTTAAAGAAAATTGGAGGAGAAAGAGGTTTTGTCAAGAGTTAGAAACTACTACCCCATGTGTTATTAGCTTTACAATGATTTCATAAAAATGCCAGACTATGGACTATGCTTCTTTAATGTCTATTATTCCATCTTAACTACCATGGCAACATTGGATAAATTTCTGGGATTTGTAGTTTAAGGAGTGGCATTGAGAATTATCAGCCATAATGCACCCCAGTTTCACTAAACTACAAATCTCAGATTTCCACAGAATATTGCCATGGCAGTTAAAGTAAAATAATAATGTTTGCGATAAGGCCTTAGGGTCAGTTCCGATTAACAAAATTATGTTACAATTCTGTAAGTCTGGTTTGCATATCTGATTTTTCTGGTTGTAAGTGTTGCATACTGGTACAACATTTTAAAAACACAACAAATAATCTTCCTTCCTTAGGTATTGGTAGCATAACTATGTATTTTATTTCTTGTCAGTTAACTGTTGCATGTGTCCTTAACTACTCCCCCTGAGACAATTTGTCGAACCTCTGAAACATGTGTGATTAAAATATTTGGGTGATATCACAAGTGATTTTACTGATGTTGCTGTTCTGGTCCTGGGCTTTATTGTGTTTCCAGCTCCTGACATTACTTAGCACTGTGGATTTTGTGGTAGAACTCTTCTTGCTTTCAATCTATTCATGTTGTCAGGCACTGGGAACTCAATTTGCCAAGCATCATTGGGTTGGTGTGTTCATGATATGGAAATTACTGCAAGTTTTTCTTTTGAACTTAAATAAAAGTAGCACATAGCAATTCTGCATGATGTTTGCTGGTGGTGGTGGTTTTATTTTCATTTTGTCTTTCCATGAGCTCTGTTTAGTTTATCAGCAACAGGGAAGATTACAGCCATCTGGGTACCTGCCAAAAGTGAATTGATTGGTGTTCTGAGATTTTACCAATGCTTAAAGGGCCATCAAGTCCATTCCTTTAATGCAGTATGTTGTTTCCTTCCCATCTGTCTTGCCTAATTAATTTATCTGGGCAAGAGGTAGTCCATTCCAGCCATGTTCTGACCGTGTCACACACGCAGTAATGTGACCCCAGGGAGTAGCCACAAGAAAGCTGTCTCGTCCCATCTGTGGACAAAGATTGTGAGATTGCTTGTCTTTTCCCAAATACTAAAAACACTTTCCATAGAAAATGAAAAATAAAACCACAGTGACAGGCTATCTTTGTATTTCAAAAATAAGCACTTTTAAATAGATTTTTTCAAAAAAGGAATTAATTAAACATTATTTGGGAATATTTAAACATTGCATTGTGTCTATACCAAAAGGGAACCATCTGTTTTCAAATAATATATGTATCTCCTGTAGCATATACACCCGCTACCAAAATAGCTCATTTAGGCAAAAATGGAAAGAAATAAAGTGAGAATGATTGTTCTAAAGCTCCATGAAAACACATGGTCAGTTTAAGAAATCAAGATTTATCAGTCAGATAATGTTCAAGGTGCTTCCTACATGGATTTACCCATAAATAGTCGACATATTCAAAGGCATAGCCATGTTAGTCTGAAATATCAGTATGCAAAGGGATTTTGTTAGCACCTTAAAGACTAGCTTCTTTTTAGTTGGTTTCAAAGGTGGTATAAATTTACTTTGCATAATTATCAGTACTAGTGTGTCCTTTAGTTTTTGTGTAATTGTCCTGCATGTTTTTAAAAAACAATTTAAATATAGTGATGGTATTTTAGGGTGTGTTGCTACTCAGGAAAATTGCATATAGCGTATAAGGTGGTAATGAAGAATGTTTGACTCTCCAGATTTCTCTCATTCTGCATCATGCTTCTATGAACTAGGGCTGATGGAAATTGCCAACAACAGCTGATGTGTCATATCTATCCCACCCTTACTGTGGGCATGCCCATGATAACTGCCCAAACACATTTTACAGGACAAGGGAAATTAATGTTAGATGCATTAATTTTATTTTGTTGGTTGGTAATGAAATGGGAAGCATTTCTCTTGTGTTTTCATCTCATGCTCTTCTGCTGATATTTACATTGCATGGTTGATGATATGATCCTTAATGGGAACAGCACTTATTGGGTCTGAAAATTATAAAAATGTTAAAATGATTTTTAAAATAAATAAAAATGTAGACATTGTCCATGATGAAGAACAACAATTGACCATTGGGCAATAATAAACTGTGTCAGTAGTTCCACCTCACTGAATTCAAATATCATTTTCATTATTGGAAAGGGACCACAAAGCTGACACTTACATGCAAATGTGGTGAATATATGAAATAACACCCAGAGAACAGTTTTGTCTGAATGTACCCTATGATGGAAAACGATGAACCAGCAAGAAAACAGATTCTTTTAGATGATGTTTTGAGCTATATATAGATGAAAGTACTGGACAGTATAAAAGATGTGGAGTATACAGAAATATTAGATGTTTTTCCCATATGCAAGAGACACAAGGTGGGACTGGAGAGGTTTTTTTACTACTTCTTCCCTCTGGAACTGAGTTAATATTGTAACACTGTAGTCTCTTTCAAGCATGCGTAACATTTTTTCTTGGGGCTGTATTGTTTTCCAGCAATATTTATTGCACATGCCTCATTTGAATGTAGGTTTGTCAGCAGACTGTTCATGTTTGACATAAACGTATTCACTACAGTAATTAAGATGGAGATAAATAATGATACAACTAATCTCTGACTATTTAAAGATTCAGAAAGTACTAAGCTTCTGTTAATCTTGTTTGCCAATATTAAGGTTTCCCCAATGATGATTGAAATGAAGATCTGAACTAGCATAAATAACTGGCATAGTATTTTGTGTGGTTTTAAAGAGGGTTGCCTACTATAGGCTGTGATGTGGTTTTGTTTACCACTTTTCCAAATATAAACAAGATACTAAGAAATCCCTTCTTCTGTATTGAGAAATATCAGAACATCCCTTCCCTCAGTTGTCAAACCCATCACTGTGTTATACTATTCTGATTTTCTCTGAGTTTGCATTAATCAGTGGATGATCAGTTGGGTACATGAGCCTCTCTTAAGCGAGGACAATGAATGACATGATTTTTCATTGTATTAAATTAAACGAGTTGGCAAAGTAAAAAAGCGGGGGGGGGGGGAATGAAGAGATGGAAGGTGGTGAGGGAAGCTAGTTCTTGTTAAATAAAGGCTTATTGCTGCTATGTGGTGTTCAATATTTCAGTATTTCACACCTCAAAATTACTAAGGTTCAAGTAATTCATGACAGCTCCACACACTGGTTGTTTTGTGTTTCTTTTGTACCAAAACTGTTATAATAGTGTTTCCTATATCAAACCTTTTACCTATGAATGACCCAAAAATGGCAAAGTGGCCTTTCACTCCATATGATTCATTAACTTTAAGATCAGATTAAGAAGCACTGTGTGATATCAAATGAACAAGCATAAGAACCAGGGACATTTTGATGGTGACACCAAAAATGTGAACTAGTTGTGAAGCTTTGTCAGACTTCCTTTTGGCACATCTTTAAATGGCTGATGAAGGCTAGTTTTATTTCAGCAAACATTTATTGTTCTTTTTAAAAAACGCTGAAGGATCTTTGAAGTCTACAAGGTCCATTTTTGTGGCTTCAAGAGGAAAAGTAAACATATTTTCCCTATCTCTGGCTTTTGATTCATATGGCTACTTTAGAGTTGCCTAAAGAGACAATCAAGAAATGGTTTCAACCTTCTTCCATATTTGATGGACTTGTATGGTGGTAAAAGAGTTCTGGGAAAAGGCGATTAAACAAACAAAATAAAATCATTATTAAGAAAATTAAGAAAAACCCAGAAATGTGCTTATTGGGTTTGTTTCAGGAGGGAATTAGCAAAGAAGATACAGAAATGTGCCAATATATGTAGTTTTGTGGCAGCTAGAATCACAAGAGCAAAATCTTGGAAGGGGGAAAAAGAACTATTTATTAAGAATTGGAGAAAGAAATTAGTAGAATAAAGGATCAAGATCTTCAATGACATTGGGGGCGGGGTGGACGGGGACAAAGAAGAGTTTTCTAGAAAATGGAGACTGCCTTTGGATATTTCAGAAAGAGGACAAAAATAGATTTTGAAATAGCTGAATGAGGGATTTGTTAGTGTAGCAATAAGGACAGATTTTTGTTAGATACTAGATCCATATGGTGTAGTGTTAGAAGTCATGGGTGATGGTTCATGCCTGGGAATGGTGGGACTAGGGAAATAATACTTGTATTTTAATGGTTAAATTTCAAAGATTATATGTATGTATATGTATGTATGTATCTATATATCACAATAATATTTAATTAAAAAACAATATGCTGGTTTGGCATGCTGGTAGTTGCAATGACAGAGCATAAGAAGGTCAACATCATTACCACTCCTACTTTAAAGAGTCATTTGTACACATCTGTGAATCTTGATGGGACAAAAATAGCCTTGCTCACACTTGATGTAGCTTTTAATCTTAATGTGGAAAGTTGCTTTCAACTCTAAGTTCATGTGTTAATCTTGTGTTCTGGGAAGAGGTTGATTGAGAAGGTTGAAAGATATAAACCAGGACCTCATAACTCCCCGTTTTATTTCCTTTCTAAAGGATGCACCCTGCTGTTTTATGAGACTTACGGGAGAAGTTCCATGGAGCAGAACATCTCACCCAGATATGCTCTGTTTGCAGAAGACAGTATAGTGCAGTCTTGTCCTGAACACCCTAAAAAGGAGAATGTTTTTTGTCTCAGCAATTCTTTTGGAGATGTCTACTTATTCCAGGTATTTATGATGCCGCTTTTAGTTTATGTTTAAGTCAAGTTTTGCCAAACTTGAGTTTAAATCACAAAAGCAAAATTTAACAATGCTCTTGGGAAGAATTTTAGATTCCATGGACTTGGTTTCTTTCATTCTGGATATTCCATAAAACTCAGATAAGTCCTTTCCTTTAAGAATCCAAGGCATCAGGCCATGCATAACATGGAAGCCCCAGCAGCAAGCTGGTAGCATACTGTTCAGCTTTCTGGGATATACAAAAGAAAGTTTCAATCTTATTAAAGAACATTTAATAAAGTGACTTTTAACTGTATTGATTAAACTAGTGCAAATTTTCATATACATACAGAAGTCATTTTAAATAATATTTGTGTTTTTAGATACCCATTTGATGTACTGAAATGGTGACTGTAACGTGGTGAAAAAAGCCCCCTTTGTGGGGCTTTTTTGACTGCATAATATGTAGTCTCTTTGAGGGTGCAGCTGCATGGATGGATTAAGCCTCACACACCCACACGGCTCCACCCTCAGCTCGAAGGGGAGAGACAGGCAGGTGGGTGAATTTGCCTCCTCTCCTGTCTCTCTCTTCTAAGCTATGGAGTCATGCTTTGTTGCAAGGCATGAATTCACTCCCCCACCTGCCTGCCCTCTTTCCCTTTTGGCACTGTGGGGCTTGGCTTAACTGAGAGCTGAATCAAGTCCCAAAATGCCAAAAGGGCAGTCACACCCTTAATTAACTCACTTGGTTGAGAGAACTAAGGATGCGACTTTCACATGGAAAAGAGCAAAATATTAATTTTGCCTTCCCCAAAAAGGGTGCGCGACTATTATGTGATTATATGGTATGCTGCTTATCAATTGTGGTAACATGTTCGACGCATGGATGAGGTCATCCTTCAGTTGTTTCAATTGTCTTCAAATACACAGTTACTTTTAAAATGAAATGAACAAACAAAGAATTAACTAGCTAAATCTGTCTGGATCGTAGTCAGCAAAGTAGCATTGGAAGGGAAGAATACCCCCTGGGCTTTGCTGGTGGAGCTTTTTGGCTGATGCTGCTTCTTCACTATGATGAATTAAGGATGTTTTACATGCATAGGCATTTTTCTGGTAGCTGAGTAGCTCCCTGAGCAGAAAATTCAGACTGACCATTTAATGACCTTGAGTGATCTTGTCATTCAGATGATTTAGATGAAACTCAGTTATCCTGGCATATGCATGGACATACAAAAATGGGTCAGAGAATGCCTGGTCCTTCAGATATATTTCTGTAAAGAATGGAGGTGGATGGATTTGTCACAGATGCATTAGAAATCAGAATAACTCATGTTGGTTATGATCAGTTTAAGTTGCATTGGCGATGTTGGCCAATGCTGGCTCTGTTGTGACAGCTCCACTAGCTGCCAACATGTTTCTGAGCACAATTCAAAGTGCTGGTTTTGACCTACAAAGCCCTTATATGGCTCTGGTTCAGGTTATCTGAAGGACCACATCTCTTTCTGTTAACCTGGGAGACATCTAGAATCCAGTGGGGAGGGCCTTCTCTCAGTCCCATCACCCATTCAAGCACTCTTGATGGGAACACAGGAAATGGCCTTTTCGGAGGCTGCTCCCAGGCTGTGGCACTCTCTCCCAAGAGAAACCAGAATGACCCCATCCCTTTTGGCCATCCGCAATTAGGTCAAGATCCTCCTCTGCCAACAGGCTTTTGGGGAAGGGGAAAGGGAGGCTCTGGGGAGGGTGAGTGAGATGGAGGGGGGGTATGGGTTTTACAGGCCATTTTAACGTATTTGCTGTATTTTAATTCTGTTTTTACATCACTGGTATTATTTAATGTTTTTTAAACTTTTGCATTGCTTTTTAAAAACTGTTTAGCGTGGATAGATGCTAGCTGCCTTGAGTCCCCATGGGGAGAAAGGCAGAATATAAATAAAGATAATAATAACAATAATAATAATAATAATAATAATTGACTAAGACATTTTATAGATATGTTTTCAGAATGGAAAAAAGTAAGTTTTCAGTGCTCCATCTAATAAGAGTTTTGATTTTGGTTCATAGGGACCCAGCAATTACCCCGCCTGAGAATGGCACTGTATTTGTGTCTATTGACCATAGTTGTCCTTTTTTTTTTCCTGGAAGCTCACCAGGGACTAGCAGCCAATGGTTTGTTGGTCCAGGGACAACCACTTTGAGTAGCACACATTTTTCCTCTAATGAAAAGCTTTGATTTGAAATTATTGTAGTATGTCTGTTAGCTATAATAAATTCATATCCTAAAACTGTGTTATACTATGGAATAAATGATCTATGTGGTAGTGTGTTTGGAGGACAAGGAATTGTCTGCAGAAATCACAGAAGAACCAAACAAAATAGAAGTTACAATTGAAAGCAATAGCAAATCTGTGTCTATATAAACGAGGCCAGCTTTTTTGTAACCAAAAGCTGCTTCACAATAACTGCACCATTATCCTGTGCTGGAAAAGTGCAGGAATTGAGGAGGCCCTTAATTCATTGTGGGACTACACTTTAAACTGTATGATTCTTCACTGCTATTAGATTGGCAGTGAATGTGCCATCATTCTTTTGCTTCTTACTGTTTCTTTCAAATGTAACTTCCATTTTGTTTGGTTCTTCTGAATTAAACTAATGACAGGTTACGTAATTGTATCCTTGCATCTAAATATCACATGACGAGTTTCATCTTTTATACAAAGTTCTTCCTCTTTAGATAAAGTCTTAAGCATTACTAGTAATTATAGTTGCCAGCTATTCAAGGCAACATTATTTTAGCAGAACCCTTTTATTATTTGAAGCTTGAGGCACAGAGTTGCATGCAAGCACCGTGAAGCTATGGAGTGGGGAGGGCAAGAGGGACCCCACTTAAGCTGACCGCACGCAGTTATCCTTGTCTGATGTTGGTTTTGGAACAAGCAAGATTCTATTTTCACATTTTATTTATAATGTTGATTTTACCTCTTTTTTTAAAGGCTACAAGCCAGACTGACCTTGAAAACTGGGTTACCGCCATACATTCAGCTTCTGCTTCCCTCTTTGCAAAGAAACTTGGGAAAGAAGATACAGTTAGGTTGCTGAAAAATCAGACTAAAAGCCTTATCCAAAAGATTGACATGGACAGCAAGATGAAAAAGATGGCTGAACTGCAACTCTCGATTGTTAGTGATCCTAAAAACAGGAAAGCAATTGAGAACCAGGTATCCAAGAATGACATACTTTCCATATATGTATCCATGAAAAGCTTCTGTTCCCAAGAGTTTTAATTTTTTGAGACAGTAAATAAAAAATCCTCATATATATCTGTTGCAAATGAGAAGATATTGTTTGAGAAAACCTATCATGAAAACTTATCATGAATTTAGGTAGAATCCTGAAAGAGAGAAACAGTTGAAAAAAGTAACTTCCTTCCAAACTGATGTCTCTGTCTGTAACTTCTTTCCAAATTGATGTCTCTGTCTGTATTAGCAACACATTTATTAATTTTTTAAAATCTTTGTGGAATATTTGTTCTAACTTTCCCAACCATTTTACACTTCTAAAATATCAGCACAATTAAAAATGACATTCAAAACTAGAATAAATGATTCTTAGCTAGACAAAATTGAGACACATTGAAGTTGTGATAGAACAAATAAATGTGCTCCTGATGGTGAGGCTCACTTCTAATGGGAAGAAATTCCCACTGTTGAGGGATTGTCACTGAAAAAACTCTGCCTTGTGTTTCCATCAATCTGTGTACATAGCAGGACATCTGGAGATGCCTGCAATTGACAGGTAAATTAATGTGGGAAGATCCATTTCGACAAATGTGTAATGCATTGATGTTGTTCTTTCATTTGTTAGTGCAATCATATTCAGGGTGGGATTTTTCTTCAAATAACAGCCTCAAAACAGCTTCTTTCAAGCAGAATAGAACTCTACTTTGCTACAGTGAGGTATTCATCACTCCCCTTACCTTCTTCCCATTTTGCCTAGAAGATTATGGGTCTAGAACACTGCGCTAAATATCTTGTCCAGATCACCAGGCTGCACAAATTGAAATATTTCCAATAACAAAAGCAAGATTGTGTGCACTGTAATGATAACACCAACCCCCCCCCCTTCAAAATTCTAGACTGCAATCTCTCTATAGAGTTACGAGAATCACACCAGAATCTTTTAGATTGCTACTTTGTTTTTTGCCTATCTTTTATAAGTAGAGACTTGAGAAAAGAAACTTGAGACATATTTGACTTTTGTAGTACTTTCTAATACCCTTCAGTCAAAATCTCTTTTGATGTTATATCATTTTTTCTTGGAAATGATAACACTGTTCAATAGAAGGTTTTGAGAATAGAATGGACTGATCGACCAACTGTTCAGACTTACTTTCCCTATATCCTCCATTAATTTTTCTTTTTCTAATGTTTCTTTTGTATATGTAAACAGATCCAACAGTGGGAGCAGAATCTAGAGAAGTTCAACATGGATCTTTTTAGGATGCGTTGCTATCTTGCCAGTCTACAAGGCGGGGAGTTACCAAATCCAAAAAGTCTTTTGGCTGCTGCCAGTCGACCTTCAAAGATGGCACTAGGGAGACTTGGCATATTCTCAGTCTCATCCTTTCATGCACTGGTGAGCTGCAAGGGGGTTCATACAAGCATAATAATATAAAGGAACTGATTTTTGGGAAGATGTCAGACAATGTAATCCCTCGCCCCATAGAAGACCTGATCATCTGCTAACATGTTTTAGAACTTCACAAATCTTTGAACTAAAATGTTGTGCTTTCCTGACTGAGGAAAACCCATTTTGAAACAACTGAGTACTTACAAAGTATTTTCATCCTGGAAAGACGTGAAAAATGTTTGTGGTGTTGCTATATTTGATTGCTTTTGCCTTGTATCCATGCCTTTGGAAGCTTTTATTGACCACAAATGTTGACTGGATGAAATGGGTGTGTGTGTTTACTATCATTCATGATCTGCATGTGGTTTTTAAATACTTTCTTTTATCTAATATAAGTGCTAACCAAATTGAAAAAATTTAACATTTGAAATGGAAGTTCCTTTTCAAAAAGAAAAAGAAAAGAAAAGAAACTTAAATATTTTAGTCTTACTTTTTCTTTTTGGTCTCAAAACGGGTGGCTTTTAGAAAGTTAAAACCAAACATATTTATTCAATGCCATGTGGGACTTTATAAAAACAGAAACAATCAATAAAATAAGAAACATTTTCTTCTTTGCCCTGAATGCTAGTTGCAATATTCATGAGATATAATTTAACTTTATATAAAACACATTATTTTACCATACACTTTGAATTTGTATATTTATTTATTTAGTTGTAGTATATCTGTTCTACATTCCAGCCCACAAGGGCTCCCGAGGCAACATACAAATAAAAACCAGTTAAATTAATACTTGAGCTGATGAGAATCTTTGCAGTTTGGGACTTATTCTGCTCAAAATATATATCACTTCTGATTCTGCCAAATCACGCCATTCCTTTCCCTGCTGGATTCTTTACAAGAGCTTATGTGGTTTTGGAAAGGAGGCATTTCACATTGCTGCGATGGCATGTGCCTATGTTTGCACAGTTTCGTGTGTATTTAATCATTTTAGACTGCAGTGCTGTGTCCACTTGCCTAATCTTAAATTTACACACTTCCCAGTAGACATTCATAGGATTGTTGCCTGATTTTTCTTTCTTGTTTGAAGGTTGAGTAACAGCCTGCCCTATTTCTTCAAACAGATAGCCACACTATAGATAGCCACACAGATTGCTTGTTTTGGAGAAGTAGTAGTTCGATCTTTGAGCAGAAATTGAGGAGCCATTTTTCTTGAATGGATGGGGATTGAGGGACAACTTCAGAACCAAGAGCATCCACTAGGGTCCTGGATATGTTTCAGCACAGTTCAGCACATTGCTTTATCTTTTATTGTGAGCTGCCCTGGATCGCATATTGAGCTAAGAACTAGAATGTAAATTAAGGAAATTAAATTTTGGTTACCTTGTGTTCAGTGTAAAATATGGTTGCTGTTACCTTCATGATTAATATACTGCTGTTTTCCTAGTTTAGTATTCAGAGTCGCTTGTAAAGATTAAAACTGAGACAGATATAAAATGAGGAAAATATGGCTAAATGTTGGTGACTCATCAAACCCTGCCATCTCTCTCTTATTCACCTTATCTTACTCTTCCCCACATACCCCTTTTCTACTCCCTTCTTCTCTCAGATCTGCTCCAGGGATGAAGCAGCTCTTAGGAAGCGTACTCTATCTTTGTCTCAGAGGGTAAGGAGCAAGAAGGGTCTGTTTTCCTCTCTTAAGGGATTGGACACTCTTGCAAGAAAAACAAAAGAGAAAAGACCATCCATTACACAGGTAGTCCTTAATTGATTTGTATAATTCATACTCATATAATCTGATGCATGTATTTAATAAAATTGGTATTTTATGAGTGATGTAAAGACTAAGTGGTGTAAATTGCCTAGAATGAGTGTTTAGTGCAAACAGAGGCTTGTTTCCTTACCCTATGCACTAGGAACAGAAAGAATTTTAAAAAAATGTTTGGAAAATGGTCAACATCCATATTTTTCAGTGTTGAGAAATGCTAAAGGGAAAATACTGAACTTATGAGAGTCTTTGCACTTTGGGACATTATTCTGTGCAAACTTCACATGTTGTCCTTTATGACAATAAAGAGCTGTAATTGGGAATTTGTTCTACATAGAATTTTCATGTGGTTGGTTTGCATAGAAAATAGGAATTTTTTTTTTTACCACGCTTGTACTCTGCTGTTCCCACACCAAAGGGGACTCAGGAAGGTCTTACAAAAGCAACAATGCCGCATATAGATATACATATAGATAAATAAACAAATGAAATTAAAAACACCCCAATTAAAACATAAAATTAGAACATCAATTAAAATCACATAATCCAGGTCACAATGCCAGTTTCTACATGGAAAATTATATTTTAATGCAGAAATATAAATGCTGTTCATATTTCATAGGAAATGCTTTTTTATGTATGAGACAACAAAGTGAAAATTTTGCATAGAACAAGATTTTGCACATCCAAAATTACAGCTTTTCTCCTTGCAGAAAGCATGTTTTCTGTACAGGAATTTTCCTCAAAAATTTCTGCACAGAAAATGCTGGTTTCTGCAAAGAAAGTGCTGGTCTTCACAAAACAATCACTTGGGACTTTTACATAGAGTAAGTCATAAATTGCATTTTAAAAGATGTGCTTTTGAATGAATTTTTTCTGGAATTACCATTTTCTACCTACATGATGAAGAATTACATCCCTGCTAAGCATGTTCAGCATGTGACATTGGCAGATATACATCACTACTCTTGTCCTGACATGTCACTATGATGGATTAATCTAATCTTGTCTAGTTTAGAACTGATAACATTTTGGGTGTATGTTGTTTCAAGACCAGCTGTCAGCTAGTAAAAGGACTGTTTTTACCCAAAGATCCATCAAATTGCTAGTAATAGTGATATATACATTGACAATGTCAGGGATTGGGTCCCAGACATGGGGTGTACAATCATCTACTGTTCCAACGTCAGTACTTTGTAGTAGCAGCAATCTAGGGTGATAAAACTGGATAAACAGTTAATAGTTAGAGATTTCTTTAGTTTGTTTGGCTGAAATGACCCAGCTGGGCAAATAGCTTAGGCTCCTCATCATTAGCTTCCTTTACAGCCCCAAAGAACACAGTTTGTGAGTTTTTCAATTGTTGCTAGTTCTCTAAGCAAATCTAGATCATTTGGAAATACTTTCATTATCTATTTAGCAGTGCTTACATATCTCTAATTTAACAAATTATAAAGGGAAAATAGGAGAAATATGAAAAAACTGTAAACAATGGGAGGAAAACAAAACTTTATTATTGGAATAGGGGGACTAGTGACGGATAGTTAGCTTCTTGTTACTACTTAAAATATAATAAAATGTGGAAAAATGAAGCACTATTTGATTTTACCCCTTTTATTATAAATATAAATAGAATCCTGAAGCTTTTCCAAGTGATAGCACACACAGAGAGGGATGCTTGCATCTCTCTCTCTCTCTCTCTGTGTGTGTGTTTTTCATAGCTTCAGGCCTTTTTATTGCATGGTCTAGCTTGTCCAGATCATTCTATAGTTTATATCAATTTGGAAATTGCACTTTGTGTGAAGATACTAATTTCAGTCAGAGTGCTGTAATAACATTTGATGGTTGGGCATGTTCACAATATGTTAAAGTGTAGTTCATATTCATATCACAATAACCTTCTATGCTGACGCAACATGTTTAGTGGTGCTGATTAATCAGTTTGTATTTTATCATTAATTCAGGTAAATGTTTGTTCTGTGCTTCTTTAAAATGCTTATTCAGAAGCATGTAGTTAATTATATATCTCATAATTTCATAGCTCAAACTCATAGAAAAGGAATTGAAAGATGAAATACCTTCATTTCCACTTTCATAATAATATATGGGATTAAATAAAGACTTGTAAAAAATAAAAAAAACAAATAAAAACATTACTCCCAACAACTTTGGCATATAAGGATACATTCAATGACTTTGTTGGGATATGTGAAACCATGAGTAATATATGTTTCATTCAATTGTATTTTATATTGTGTTTTATTTTATGTTCTGTTTTTAGGCACCTTGTGCCATGAGTAAGCCGCCCCGAGTTCCTCTGAGGAGATGGAGGCGGGATACAAGAATAAAGTTATTATTATTATTATTATTATTATTATTATTATTATTATTATAGTGGACCCATGGTTTTGCATAGTGAAAAAACATCTTCTGGTGGATGCATCCATAGAGTCATGCTGGAGGATCATGGAAATGTCTAGAAATGATAGCTTTATGTGGTCAACCTCTGGCAGAAGCATGCTGTAGAATTGTCTGGAGGCCCCAAAAATGCTTAGAGAGGACATCTTTTGTCTGACATGGGAAAATGAAATTGTAGATACTGGTCTTCTACATACAGCAGTCATACTGCAGTTCCAAATCATGTTATGTACTAAAATGCAGAATGCAAAAAATAAATATCAACCAATTTGTTTTACTGTAGCGGGGGTTAAACCTAAAAGCCCCCTTAGCTACAAGCAACCTTCAGAAGTTTGTTTATGAGGTGTACATGGGATTTCGTTTTAGGAAATGTCTAAGAGACCTAACCCACTGCTCAGTGTTCTTTAAGGAATATTCCATCTCTGAATAACTTCATTGGCAGTGATAATATGTGGTTACTAAAGAATCTGCCTGTGTTGACTCTGTACTGAATAACTGACATCTTAAAGCATTCTAGAAATATTTAGCATGAAAACATATACAAAGTTAGTGCCTGAGCTGTCCCTAGAAGCTCAGATAACTAAACTGAGGCTGTCATACTTTGGACATGTCATGAAAAAATGTGATTCATTAGAACAGATAATACTGTTTGGTAAGGTCGAAAGCAGTAAGAAAGAGGATGACAACATTCCAGGTTGATAAACTCAATCAGGAAGGTCACAACCCAGAATTTGCAAGACCTGAGCAGAGCTGTTGATAAACAGGGTGACTTAGAAGCCTCTCGTTCATAAGGGACCAAATAAACAAAGTATGGTGTAAAGGGCCAGTTTTTGACCTATTAGTTATTTAACTGCTGCAACCAGAAGAAAAGGAGAAGTTAAATCCACCTGATGGGTATAGTCAAAGCTAGATGTCGATCCTGAGACTATCCCTAGACCATCCTTGGACCAGCATAAATCTCTGAGGGTAATCCAAATTATCATGGTTTCTTGCGCCATCCTGGGGATGCTCCCACCCAAACCACAGAGTTTTCAGTGTGAGAAACCCCCATTCTACCCCCAAGGGGAGTCCCCTCCCCAGCAACCCAAGCTACAGAATCCAGAAAAGCTGTTCCAGAGGCCCACCAGTAACTCACAAAGGGGGTGCCATGGAGTTTACTGGATCTGTTTTAAACATGTTAATATGCCAGTGTCAAATTATTTAAATAACACTGCCAAATGCCAATTTTCACAATCCAACAGAGACAGTATTGGGTAGGCGAACCCCCCCCCCCCCTGCTTCCCAGAGTAAAATCCTTGAGGAGGAAAAACTCCTCCCCGGCCCTGACGTAACAAGTCTTAAACTATAACTGACCTCAGGGTGGGTCATGCTGAAATACAGAGTGCTGCTGCCCCTCATCACAATGACAGAGGAAAGAGGCTTCAAGGAAGTTTCTTCCCCATTGACACAAACTGTCTCTTTCATGTGGGGACCCAAATCCCACCCTCACCTCAGACATCACCTTTCAGGCTTTAGGTGGGGCTAAGTTGAAGTCAACTTGACAGTGTTTAACAGTAGAAGCAGCAACAACAACAACAACAACAAGTTAAACCTGAGAACTTTTCCCCCATGGATCTGATCAGTCCATTCTCAGAGCAGGTTCAGGAAAGAGGTGTAGACAGGTTTACAGGTGTGAGTTATACAATATGTGAGTTGTCAAGTCAAATCTGACAAGTTTTGTCCTAGGGTTCTGATACAAACATGGGTAGGATTACTCCTTTCTCATTCAAAATAAGTGGCCTCTTTATGCATCTTTAGCAGCTTGCACACTTGAGAATATGGATAGCAACGTAGCCTGTGGCTCTTTTGGATGATAAAAAGCAGTTAACAAAAGCATGAGAAAGTCACAAGTATGGGGAATCAGTTAGGGCAACAAACCCATCTTCGTATCTTAAGATATTTAGTGAGATACTGAACAATCAGAGAATGAAACAGTTTGTATTATCATTTCTAAGTAGTCTTTCACATGTTTCCTTATCAAAATACCAGCCATTTAGAAACATGAGAAACATTATAGTGGTTGTGCAGCACTGTATGACCAATTATTTCAAAGAGAGGGGATTAAATAAGTATGCTGAGTGCTAATTTGCCACTCAAATGTACTTAGAGGGTTTGTTTCCCAGATTACTGACAATCATTGGTGAAGCAGATGACTGTGAGTGAGAAGTTAATTCTGCAGCTTACTCCAAATCCTTTAGTATTTTAAACCTTGGAAATCATATGTGTTTTCCAGCTGTCAAACACAAGTTGCATCAAAAAGCCATTGGTACTGAAGTTTTGTGTCTTGCTTAACGGAGAAGACTCCAAAGTCATTATTTGCTGTTATTAACCCTGCTACCAGAGTTGCATTTTTCAAAGAAAAACTCTGACTATAAGAGAAGAAACATTGAGAATGAATGTAGGTCTCGTGCCATGCAACTGATCTTGGTATTTAGTGGTTCTCTGTAAACTAGTGAGCAAATAATTGTGATAGCAATATGAATAAAGGTAAAAATATCGTATCTCTATTGTAAGTGTGTCTTTAGAACATGACAGCTTGATTCATTTGGACTGTGCTTGTGGGTGCCCACTCCAGTCCTTTTGCTGCCTTGATTGTGGGCATTTCCCCTGCTAAACTTCTTCTGAAATCAGTTCATCCTTCGTTGCTTATGCCTGGTACAAAAAGAGCACTTAGCATTGTCTTAATCCTTAGGAAGAATCAGAGGAATCAGAGATAACGTACCAATGGGGCACACTTCCTTCGCCCTTTTCTCAGGGGAAGGTTAACGGTGACCCTGGCAAAGGGAAAAAATAAAGCACTCAGAAATGTTTACCAAAAGGACCTTAAAACGTTTTAATAGAGGAAGTATCAATTACAAGAGCATTGTGCCTAGGCAGCCAGTCAGGAAGGAAACTATAGTGCTGTCTTACTTGGTTATCACAGTTCCGCCCCCTTCTCCAGTTCAGGTCTGGTGTGCACACATAGTTCTTTAATTTCAATACAGTTCTCTGATGGCATTGTGCAGTCTGGATATCGCACAATCACCTGGGGTGACTTTTAAGGATTTGGGGAATCCAAGATGTTGAATATCACAGCAAGATCACCAATGCAAGAAAGTAACTTTCTGTCTTCCTTGTATAGACACTCAGGATGTTTGCATGCACATTAGATGTAAATAGTTATTGTGCAGTAGAGTGGCTTCTCATAATTGTTTATCCTCCTCTCTTGCAGATAGAACAGTGAGTCTTTCAAATGTTTTGTTCATATTGATCTATGTGTTTCTTTGAATTAGATTTTTGACTCAGCTGGCGTGCATGGATTTAGTGGAACACAGCTACCTCAGATTTCCAGTAATTCTACTGAGGTAAGATAGTCTAACTTTTTGAACTTCACTGATGTATTTGTTCAACATTGTATTAAAAAAGACAACAGGGGAATCTTATTTGTGTTTTTTTTTCCTTTAGAAGTCTTTGAAAATGCCTCCAAGAGTAGTTTTTTTTTAATTCCTTGCACCTGAGCGTTATTGTCACAGTGGCTTGGTTCATGGATGTTGTTGAAATGTTATTGATTTTCAGTTAATACAGTGGGTTTAATCTACATCTTGTGAACTGATAGCTCAAATACAGTGTGACTTTGTGGTAACAACTTTCAAACAACTAATCTTTAGGTTACACTGAATTGATTTCTAATGAACTATTGGGTGCTTTGCAGAGTATTGTTGGATGCAATTGAGAGTACAACACCTGTTTTGCTGTCCATCATAAGAGCTATAGTGCAAATGGTCTTGTCCACTGACAGAAACTAAGAAAAACCTAAGTGTTATGCTGAACCAGAACAAAAGACTTAGGTAGTCCAACATTATGTTCATACTGTACCTGAAAGATTGCTTGAGGAGAGTCCTTAAGCAGAAAATGAATGCAACTGCACCTTCCAGCTCTTATTTCCCAGACCCTGATATTCAGAGGCATGTTTTCTCACTCTTGTTTTCTGAAGTGGTGCTAGAAATACCTCATTTCCCTGGAAAAGAGAGCTTGCTTATATAAATTCCCCTTGGTTCACATCAGCATCAGGGCAGATTTTTTTTCGTGTCAGAAGCAACTTGAGAAATTGCAATTCTGGTGTGAGAGAATTGGCAGTGTGCAAGAACATTGCCCAGGGGACACCCAGATATTTTACCAGCCTGTGGGTGGCTTTTCTCATATCCCCACATGGGAAGCTGGAGCTGAAAGACAGGAGCTCACCCCCTCTTGTGGATTCGAACCTCCGACTTTCAGGCCAGCAGTTCAGCTGGCATAAGGGTTTAACCCATTGTGCCACTGCAGCTCTTAGGGCAGATATAGCAGTTGTAACTTAAGAGCGTATAGTGAGTGAACATTTAATTAATATCATTAAGAGAGCTAATTCTGCTATGTGGCATCATTGTGGCCTTTGCTTTTGCTCCAATCTTGGCTTTAGTTTTCTTTTTCCTTGCAAATTCTTTTGTTCCCTTCTTTCCCTAAAAACACTCTCAAAAACCTGTTATTTCCCTTACTGTATAATTATCAAATTTTAACAAAGGTTTTAGTTTGTTTTTCTAAAAAGCATTTTATTGCCTCTTCCTCCTCCTATTCAAAAAAAGTGGTTGTAGACTCTCCATGTCTTCAGAGTAGAAAAGTGGTTGTAGACTCTCCATGTCTTCAGAGTAGAAAAGCTATATCGCTTGATGCACAGGTGTTGGTGGTGGCTGGGAGAGCCTTCGCACGATTAAAACTCGTGCGCCAACTGCGACCATACCTTGTGAAGTCTGACTTGACCATGGTGGTTCATGCCTTAGTTACCTTTAGACTGGACTACTGCAATGTACTCTACATGGGGCTACCCTTGAAGACGGCCTGGAAATTGCTACTCGTCCAACGCTCGGCAGCCAGATTAATAACTGCGGCAACTTACAGGGAGCAGTCAACCCCCTGTTTAAGGAGCTTCATTGGCTGCCGTTCATCTTCCAGTCCCAATCCAAGGTACAGGTTCTTACCTATAAAGCCCTAAACGGTTTGGCACCCACCTACCTTCATGACCATATCTCTCTCCATGAATCAGCCTGAGCTCTTCGGTCTTCGGGGAGGCCCTCCTTTTGTCCCTGCCAGTTTCTCAGGCTCGCCTTGTGGGTACAAGGGAGAGAGCCTTTTTCTCTGTGGCTCCCCAACTCTGGAACTCATTGCCCGCAGAGATTAGGAAAGCCCCTACCTTAGAAACCTTTAAAAAGAACCTCAAGACCTGGCTTTGCTCCCCTCAACGTTTTTGTCCTAGGAGTACCCCCCCCCCCCGTATGAAGGCATGTCTATTACCCTGTTTCGCTATGAATTCTCCCTTGCAAATAATCTGCTCCTTTTATCTCACCATTTTATTGTACATGCGGCCCACTCACTGTCATTATGTTTGTTTGCTGCTTTTTTATGTTTTGTGTATATTGCTTATTGTATTCATACGTTTTGTATTTTACTGTGATATTGTTTGTGTTTTACTGTATTTTATTTCATTGTATTTGTTGCTTGGGCTTGGCTTCATGTGAGCCGCCCCGAATCCCTGTTGGGGGAGATGGTGGCGGGGTATAAATAAAGTTTATTATTATATATTATTAAATAGAATTATTCTGTTGACTGGTATTTATACATGAAGATGTGCATTGTTGTATATGGGAGGAGTAGGAATGAGTTTGAAATGATATGATTGTAAAGTATTATCTCAGATTTGAACAAACATTTGCTTACCTTCGAAATGTTGATGAACTTTACTACCTTTGTGCATTTCCTCCCTTGGTGTAGGAGCATTTATCCTGTGCTCTTAGATATTTATTTGGGCATTTCATTCTGTGTGCCCAGTGGTTTTCAGAATAGATGGAAAGAATCTATAACTTTTTTTTAATGAGCCTGAATTTGGAGGCCAAATTATTCCTCCTGTGGAACATGCTTTGCTGTATGAGCTCCAGTTCCTGTGTCTGCTAAATGAATAAGGCTGGGAATTCTGTTTATGTTAGGGTTGCCAAATTTTAAAACGGCAATAAGGAACAGTCAAAATTCATGACATGTGACATTGACAGCAAGTAACCATTAATAAGTTTTTATTCTACTCAAGTACCAATGAAAATACTGATTTCAGTTAGCTTAATCATATATTTTTCTATAAAAGTAATGTGTTGCCCACATTCATAAATTACATGAGACATACTTTTTAGTCTTCATGAAAATCCATACTTGATTTTTTGTTTGGCGTACACCAAGAGTCCCGAGGCTTTCCTCAAATTGCCCACATCCCCAAATATTGCATTTTTGGCATCCCATTCCGTCTATTTAAAGTGGCTCACATTCCAGCCCTCAAATAAGGGTTTATCCCTTACAATAAGGGGCTCTTGCCAGTCCTATAAGAGACAAGGTTTTGACCATCAAGTAAGGGCATCTCATATCATAATGGACGCCTGGCAACCCAAGTCTGTGTTCATTTGAAAAGGTCCATCTGCAGTTTTGCTGTGGTTTCTCTAAATTGCTTAATGCTTCATCCAGCAACTCAAAAAATGATTCATCATAGCTCACAAAACCACTGGTACTGGAGACAAGCCAATTTTATTCAAGAAGTTTGAAGAAAAACAAAACTAAACATTACAAGAAACATCCTGATGAGTTTACTGAAGCACAGCCACATTGAATGTCCCATGTATATCTTCTAAAGTGGTGTTTTATATCAAAATAGTCACAAACAAAGGCGAAAAAAATCATGAAATAACTTTACTGCTCTTCAAGCAATGCTGTGGCATAGCACAGTACATTTAACAGTCTTGGCATAAATTTCTGGAAAACTGAATATGTTGTCAGAACTCTGTGTGGCAACGAATGAATCAAGTATTGTGGGATTATTCACTGGGCAGACATAGCTGAGGAAAAAACACAACCCCTTAAATATGAAGATGGAAAAATGTAGATATATGAGCAGCAACGTCTCTTCAGCACAACCAACACCTTTTATTATTATGTGGGGTTTTGTGTATGTGTGTGTGTTTCCATCAACACTTTTCAAGAAAATAGTTTTATTTACTGTATCATAGCATAAAAACAGTTAGTGAAGATTTGTTGCTATGTGAGTCAGTGACAGCTAGTGTCTTCCATGTTAGTGGTATGATGAATCCACACTGGGTTTATTCCAGACTTTAAAGCAACTGGGCTCAGTACCTTGGATTGTGCTTTTAAAGTCTGGAATTAGATCCAGTATGAATCCACTGCCATCCTGATTTGATAAACATTGGCCACCACTGATATGAATGCTACATAAGGCAAATGTGTTAGACCAGGACATCTACGAGGGGTATTTTTTAAGTAAGGTCCGTTTTGTTGTAGACACTAGTAGTTTGCGCGCATACCACAACGAGCGCGTGCCTCGGGAACAACTGTGCTCAGTTTCCACTCTGTAGCTAACCTGTACGGTTCTGTTCTGTGCTCTAAAAATGTTTAAGACTATCAACTCACGCGCCGCATGTGAGGTTCGCTCAGTGCTACGGTTTTTGTCAGCAAGGAACCTGCCTGCTGCAGAAATCCATCGACAGATTTATGAAGTGTACGGTGATACTGTTATGAGTGAAAGCAGAGTGCGTAAGTGGGTACGACAATTCAAAGATGGCCGTGACAACGTCCATGATGAAGACCGCTCAGGTTCCTTGCTAACAAAAACGGTATCACATGCGGCAGGTGAGTTGATAGTCTTAAACATTTTTAAAGCACAGAACAGAACCGTACAGGTTAGCTACAGAGCGGAAACTGAGCACAGTTGTTCCCGAGGCATGCCGATACATGACGCATGCGCTCGTTGTGGTATGTGCATGAACTACTAGTGTCTACAGCAAAATGGACCTTACTTAAAAAATACCCCTCGTATTATGTTGCACTCAAACATTGATTCTGGCTGTTCTGAAAAAAGTAAAATTAGTATACAGAATGAAGGACAGATATCTTCAAAACGTGCACCAGTGTCTTCCTCAGCCTGGTATTATCCAAGTGAGTTGGCCATGCTGACTGGGAATTGTGAGCAGTTATAGTCCTACATATCTCAAGAGCAATCACTTGGGGAAGGCTGATATTGTGAAGGCGTTCTTAATGCCGATGGTTTCGTTACAACTTAGAAGCAACTTAGAATTTAAGGAATGGGCATCCGCCTCCTCTTGTCATGCTCAGAATGGATGCCAGTCTTCATAGTTAATTTAATAAATTGCACAAGGGATTGACTTGGATTCAAAGAGGTGCTGGGATTTGTTTGTGTGGATGGGTTTTTTTCCTTTTAATTTTATAGATGTATTTTCTTCTTCTTTTTCACTGTGGCTTATCCTATTCTATAGAAGAGCAAACTACAGACAGCCTATTACAATGCAGTCTGAGCCCTGCCACATACACAATGGAGGACCTTCATATAGCAACACCAGATACACTCTAAGTGGCCAGCTTCTGGTCAAATAGCATTTAATATAATGCCAAGCTTTTTAAACTTTTGTGTTTTTTAAAATATATATGTTACAATTGTACTTTTGGTTTGTTCCTGATACGATAAATAAATCCTGTTCTATAAAATATTAATAGTATTGTTTTGGTTGTCAGAGCCTAAATGGAGCAATGGGGTAATTTTGACAAAAGCAGTTATTTTAAAATTACGGTAATTTTTAAAAGTTTGAAAAATCTGTATAGCCTTATTGTTCAGTGTTATATTTCTGTGTAGGAATGGTATTAGTTAATACTGCCCTCTGCTGATGAAATTTCCGACTGAAATTTCACCAACCCATTGATTTAATTCAAAATGAAATAGATCTCGTTTATAGCTTTCTCATATTTTGAAAAATGCCAAATAATAAAAACAAAACTCAGACTGATTTTAGTAGGTTTTCTTAACAGTCACAGGAAATCAAAGCTCATTTAATGATTGACAACAACCTCTCTGTATAAGACTTCTGATTCCCAATTGCTACACAGTTAAGAAGCAACAGAATGCCCCCCTTTCCCAGATGATACTGTTGAAATAAAGATAACTTGATGTAAGAGCAGTTGATTTTAGTGTTGAATGAATGTAATTTTCTTTTTAGTCTTGGTACTCAGGTCAATTTTTTTGTGGGTAGAGCTCTTTATTCCTAAGTGTATGCGTTTTGCACTTGGCATTAATTTTGGAAGGGCAAAGTATATCCTGCAAGTCTGAGATCCATGTTTTTTAGTGAATGTGCATCTTGTTTTGTAAAGAAAGCTTCTCAGTTACAATTAATAGATGATATTATTATTGTATTAAAGTGTGTTTCTATGTGTGTATGTTTTCTTCTCAACAGAAAGTTGATGAATTTCTAAATGTATACTGCTCTGCTCCGGAAGGTACTACAAAAGAAAATATCTGGGACATCCAATCACTTGTTCGCTTTCCTGATGGCCAAGTGTTACTGCTAACTCTCAAGTCAGAACACAGAGTAGAGGATGTTTTGACAACCGCATGCAAGGTACGCTACTCAGCATCTTCCACAGTTATTTAAATCACACCACTAAAGGCCTTCTGGTTATCTTTGCAAGTGGTAAGAGTGTAGACAAGGTTAAAGAGAATTTATGTTTCATTCCCCTGGAACAACATATTATATATTGGACCTCTTCCCACCTGCTCTAAAATTGTAAATTGTCTGTTTTACAGCATAGTATCATGACATACATGAGAAGATGTGGCTCATTAGAAGGGGACAGTATTGCCTAGGAAGGTAGAAGGTAGTACGAAGGGAAGAGGTTAGTATTACAGGAAATCGCAGCCCATAAATTTGCAGGACCTGAATTGTTGAGGATAGAGTGACTTGGAGGTTTCCCATTAATGGGTTTGCCATTGGTAGACATCAATGATGACAATTAGCAACAACACATGGATTATAGTAGAATGTGAAATAAACTAAATATGGTAAGTTTTTTATCATCTATCCATCCTTCCATCACTTTTAAAATCCTACCTTTCTCCTGGGATGGATCTCAAAATAGCTTTAAAAAAGGACAAAATATTATAAAATACATACTTATACAAAATTAAGGCTAAAATACTATTAAAAAACAATAGACTTAAAAACCAATTAAAATCTTCCTTTCAAACTGATTAAAAACAGGACAACATCATAACACTCTCTTTGTTCTTGAAACCAGACTTGCTAGAAAAGAAAGGTCCTAACCTGCCATTGAAAGCAAAACAAAGAAAGAGCCATTGAAACTCCCCTGGTCTCAAAAATGCAGGTATGGACAAAGAGAAAGCCTTCACAATAACCTTATTAATGAAGACTGTAAAATGGAGAGCAATGCCTCCCCTGCAGATCTCAAAATTCAGGTTCAAGTGGGAAGATATGATCCTTTCAATAGCCTGGACCTGAGTGGTACAGGGCTTTATAGTTCAAATCCATCACTTCAAATTGTGTCCAGTAGTAGACGGGTGGCCAGTAGAGCTGTTGAAAAAAGGAGTTGTGCGTTCACTGGGCACAACACCCATTGGCAATCTGACTGAAGCTCTTTGGATCAGTTGAAGTTTACAAACACTCTTCAAAGGCAGACCCACATACATTTCAGTAATCCAGTTGTGATGTAACTAAAGTACATATTGTCGTGGCCACTTCAGATATGACAAGGAATGGAGACAGCTGGTGCAAGATTAATTTTCCAAATGTACTAACTGCAGAAACTAGAGCATCCAGAGTCAGGATTGAATCCAGCAATACACCCAAAATGTGGGCCTATCTTTTCATTGGTGTGCAATCCCATCCAATACAGTCTAAATCCCTGTTGCCTTCAGAACATTCAAAAAGTACAGTAAAAAAAAAGTACAGTAACAACTAATTTAGAATTGTGACCCTTGATGTCTCTTAAAACACAAAGCGTATCACATTCATTCACATGTAAGGTTGGGCTGCATAAGAAGTGGTGCCACCTTGGTCTGTCTTCTTGGTAAAATGTGGAAGTGCAATCATGAACCATAATGACTGAGACACAAATAGCCCAAGTGTTCAGGTACAGTTGGTAGCCAAAAATAACTAAACCAAAAATACCCAAAAAGTTTGTATATTGCTTTCAATGCTGAATTGAAAAGGACTCTGAAAAAAAAGAGCTCTAAAGAAGCAGAACTGGGTGAACTTAATAGCATGCCTAGCACTGTTCTTCTTTTGTAGAGATCAGATGAAACTCACAGCATTCCACTCACATGTAAGGTTGGGCTGCATAAGAAGTAGTGCCACCTTGGTTGGTTGGTTAAGACTATGTTGGTTAAGACTCATGGAAATGTAAGGCCAATGACAACTAGAAGGCTCCAAGTTCCCCCTCTTGTCTTCTGGGATGGAGGGGGGAGGACGATACAATACTACAGATTGTGTGCGAAGGAAGAGAAACATGTCTCTGGGGCTCTTATGTTTGCTTAGTCCTGATCTTATGGATCATATTAAGGTTGTTCACATGTCATATTCAACTTAGTGCTGTACACAGATAGTTGATCAGTAGACAGCAAATGGGTAGAGAAGCCCCCAGTTGCTTTTCGGACAGACTTTTACAGTATTACCAGTGCCAGCTTTCTTATTAATTTACAGCAGATATCCACAAAAAGCTGTTGATAATTGTATAGTAATTAGATATGGTATTTATGCAATGAAATTACATCTATTCAATAAAACAAAGATAATGTTTGTTAGCAAACGCATTCAGATGTAAGTTAGGGAACACATAATGGAAGTAGTCTTCCCTAATTTCCCAATTTTACAAGTGGTATTTACAATGTTGCAAAGTATAAAAATAGTAAATAATAATAATGTACCTCTGCTACTTTAATAGTTTAATTACACCCAAGCATTTAACATCCTTAGTGTAGTAAAAAAAAAGTCAGGGAAAAGCTTAATTTTTAATCTTAATGAAGATAAGAGCCTGGCGCATTGATTTGTGTGTTGGGCAGGAACACTGTGAGTTCAAGGTTCAGATGCCCAGTTAGCCATCCACTGGCTGCCTTTGGGCAGAACATACCCTTTCAGCATCAAAGGAATGCAATGGTAGACTCCTTTTGAATAAATCTTTCCAAAAAAAAGTATGATGGAATAACCAGAAATCAGAGCCAATTTGAAGGTATACAATAACCACAAATTTGCAATGTTATCTACTAAAAAGGAATGAAAGAGCATGCTGTAGTCAGCACTATATGGGTGACCACTAGATGGTATCAGAGACTTGAAATGTCGATGGAAGGTGCCAAGGAGAATATTTTTGCTTGGACAGATGTTATCCATGGCTGTGTAATGTTTCATGGAGACAGATTACTTAACACATTGTGGTAAAATATTAAGTTATAAACATCATTCTATTTTTTCTTCTTCTGTGTATTTCTCTTCATTGATTTGAGGTTATTTTGATTTCTTTTTTCAATTAAAACTTTTTTCTGTTTTATCTTCCTTTCTATTCTGAACATTTTAAATATTTTTCATAAGCAGTCTCTTAATGCTGACTCCTTTCTGCTACATCTTTCCTGGTTCTTTTTTCTTACATTTCCATACTTCACTGGTGAGTGTTGGGCATCTTCATTCTTTAGTACACTGTGGTGCTTGAATGTCTGTGTTTGTTGTATATATTTATATTTGGTTCAAGGGTGGTTGGGCAAAGAAAAAGGAGCAAAAGCTGCCTCTATGTATTTAAACCATCCTGTAACAGGTGCAGTTGGCAGACTTTACCAATATTTGCTAACATATATATATAGACATAAATCTCTAAAATTATTTTGATTAGGTTCAACATAACATTAATTCAGTTATAAATCATTTATGCAATCAATATATGCATATAGTGATAAGAATATTAAGATATGTTAAAGTATTTAAAAGATCAGTGTGCCTTGTTTTGGTGTACATTTTTAAAATCCTAATATCCTAAAAACACGAGATCCTATCTGATTTTGGAAGGTCAGAAGGATTTGCCTTGGTTCCTACTTGGATGGGAGACTGCCAATGAATACTCAGTGCTTTAGGCTATATTTTTGAGCAATGGTTTTCAGCCTGTGGGTCCCCAGATATTTTAGCCTTCAACTCCCACAAATCCTGACAGCTGGTAAACTGGCTGATATCTCTGGGTGTTGTAGGCCAAAACACCCGGGGACCCACAGGTGGAGGACCACTGTTTTAGTGGAGGAAACTTTCCCACCCACCTCTGAGTATTCCTTGCTGAAAAAAACTCAGTGACCCCCCCCCACCTCACCCCACCGGCGGCAGGAGACTCTACCCTTGGGAGATAATCATACTCGGCCATGCATCTCCTATAGACGTAGATCCAATTGGAGCAAGCCATGCATGCAAGGGACTCAAGGGTCATGGACATGACATTTTTAGAGTTCACAGAAGAGGGCATCCAGATCACCTTGCATTACTAGAAGAGTGGTGATAGCAGCCCAAACCACCCTTTGTCAATATATGCCTCTTCCATTCCACCATATATTTCCTTGGTAACTGCCTTCCTGGTATCATCAGAGCCACTATCATCAAAGCAATTATATGTGTGTGTGTAAAAGTATGTGTGTGTGTTCTGTTCATATATGAGTGTCTATATCTATATATATATATAAATGCTCTGTGCATAATGAGTACCTTAAAAACAAAAGAACAAATGAACGGAATCACATCAAATTTGGCAACACAAGGAATGGGAGGATTTGCTCAGAAACTTCAATTTTCTATCCTGGTGGTGGCAGTATGGCTGCATAGCAGCACCAAAATCCTTGACCTACATTATCCTGGTCCAAGATTTGTGTATAAAATGCTAAGGAAAAGTTGAGGATGGAGAGCATGGGCACAGTACTCACATTTTGATAAACTATCAATGGCTGAAATTGTGAAGTCAGAAATAATGTGATAGATGCCTTCAGCAGCCTATACACACCAGCAGCCTACACACTGCAGTCCTTCTCAGCAATCATAAAATCCCTAAGATGACCAATGATAGTATATTTCTGAATTTATTGATGTTGCATATTCTTAAAAATGTGTGCATGGTGTCATGATGTCATGGATTTTAAGGAAATTAAGAAGAAATTACATTAAGGAAAATTCTGTTTATTCCTTCATCTTTTCTTTTATCATATTTTTGTCTCTACCATTACTGCTTGACAGGATCTTTTTTATTTACTATCCTTTTATTTCAAGTATAGGCAACCAGTAACCATTGCCTTATGAAGTTCTCAGCCTGATTTTATAAGCCTCTCTGCAAGTGTTCAGTTCAAGCTTTTACAAAAGGGGCCAGTTCTTCCCCATCAACCTGCTAGATAGTCAAGAAAAAGGAAATATAGAAGGAGGAGGCATTGCGTGAGAGAAAGAGAGTGTTAGGGTTAAAAAGGGGACGACTCAGCCACTTTAGATATGGCTCACCCCACTGCTCACTGCAGACATATCAATCAGAATATTCCCGAGGGAGTTCAGACCTTGAAAATATTGTCTTTCTACTTTCTTTGATGATGCAACTGCAAATAAAGTAACTTTCTGGCCTTGTTTGTTGAAGTAAAGGTTCTCTGAGTTGCTGTAAATGAAAATGTTGCAGTTCCAAAGAGTGTGCTTCTAGTATCTGCTGAAATGTTGTATTTGTTTAGCAACCACGCAATGGTTTCTTAATTATAATGGAATACATCTGACAAATTATTACTTGTCATATTATGCCATGTTTCAGTTGTTTCCAGGAATTGGTTCATCCATGTACAGGCAGTACCCGAGTTACAAACATCTGTCTTACAAATGATTCATAGTGAAGAATGGGGTTGAGACAATGAGAAGTGAGAGTAATCTATCCCTGGGAAAGGAAATCCACTCCTGGAAGGGTTATCATGGGTGAAAGAGGTCTCAACTGAAGCTTTATCATGAATCATTGTTTCCACAACAAGCTAATTTTTAAAAATCCAATTATCACAATGACAGAAAGTGAGGCAAAGTTTCTGAACAGGACACAGACAACAAAACAAAATGCCACAGGGGTGTTAACTCTCCCCTATTTTATCTAAACCTAAGATGTATGTATATCTGTGTGTTTGTGTGTGTATGCACACACACATACACAACCTGTTTCCCCTGAAATAGGACATACCCATAAAATAAGCCTTAGCAGGATTTGTAAGCATTTGCGCACTAACATTGTTAACATTGTTTCCTGATACCTGGATTTGTGTGTAACCTGATGCTTGTATACTTCTGTACTTGTGCTTGTACATGTGTGCGTACCCTGACATTTGCACACCCTGTCACTTGTACCTTTTTGATGCTGGTCATTGACCGTAATAAATGTTTATAATATAAGCCATATCCCAAAAATAAGACATAGTGATAGGTGTGGCTATGCAGTGGACAAGATCACCCCCCTCCCCTTTAGGTCCTGGTTGTTCCGTGCATGCTGAAAGCTGAGACATAGAGGGAGACATATAAAGTGAAATTAAAAGTCTCAGTGAAGTGAGGAGCAGGACGCTTTGCTTTAGGTATTGTGTGTCCTCAGGAGAAAGAAGTAAAGCTGTGGCTGCAGTTTTACTCAGCACTGTGAGTCTCTTTCCCCCAGCATCAACCAGCAACAGTATGTGGGTCTCTCTCACTCCCAACAAACACCGGTAAAGCTGTTGCTCCCCATCACTGATCAACAGTTTGTGAGTCCCTCTCACCCCACACAAACACCAGGAGATAGGGGAAAAGTTTCAGCAAGTTGGCAGTCTGCTACTGAGTCGAGAGAGATCATCCCATAAATGCAGGTTGTTGTACCATACTTAATAAAAAAAAAGACACCCCTTGAAAATAAGCCATAGTGTGTCTTTTTTGAGGAAAAATAAATATGAGACAGTGTCTTATTTTTGGGGAAACACGGTATGTGTGTGTGTGTGTATGTGTGTGTGTGTGTGTATGGCTGTAGTTATACTTAAAATGTACTTGTACCAACTTACCTACAAATTCAGCTTAAGAGCAAACCTACAGAACCTATCTTGTTCTTAACTTTCAGGAAAAAAAGAATATATTGTGTTGCTTCTTTAAAAAAAGTCCTGTGTTATTGCTGAATAATCTGATAGGAGATTCAGACACTGGAACAGCAAGGGGATCCATTATAATAGAATTGCATGAAGGGAAACAAAAATCACTTCACTCCCTTTCTGTTAGTGTTGTTTTCCATAAAACCGAAGGTCCTTCCTCATATAGAAGGAGTTCTGTACTGAAGGATTCAGCGCTGTGTCTTAATATATGCACAGACTGTTCCACTTGAGCTATTGCCCTGTTGATGTTTGAAATAAATTCAGCATAGTGTCAACCATATGTCTTATCTTTAAGGGATACCACCTCAAGGTTACATCCAACAATAAAGCCAATATCCTGGGGGGAGCATTTCTCTTTCCCATTATTCAGCTTCCTGGTGATAATATACTTGTGACAAATAGGTGGCGTTTCAGGATCTCAGGGGGAATTGGCAGTAAAAGTGCAATAAAAGCTAGCCCAGACACAACATTCCTCTCTTAACGGTCTGTGTGCACACATGCATTTTATACATCAGATGTGTATATTTCACTGAGTAGAAGCAAGCCATCTGGAAGACCTGCAAACGCAAACAGATGCCAGTGTAGGCTAAAGAAGAGAAAAGGTTTCTAAGTTTATTTACACATCTAACCACTTGTTTAATTTCAAATACAAGAAGTATCATTACAAATCTGTGGGTTTCTTGTAACAGAAAAAAACCAACTTGCAGCCCTGGTATGAAAGCTGTACCATTAAATACATTTCTTTATGGTGTATTCAGTTGTTATTGAAGACATTACTTGTAGGTTTGCATAATGGCATAATCTGAAGGTCTTTTGACAATCTCTCTCTATTCTGACATCTGTATTTGTACAAATAATATCTGAATTGCCGATAAATTACTTTCACCCCTTAGATTAAGCAGTTGGAACCAAGATACCACGGTTTACACCTTAGAAGACATATTGATGAAAATATTGAGCAGTACATTCCTGAAGCTTATGAATACATCCAAGATCAGGCAAGTGGCACTATGAAAAGACTTGGAATTCTTTGAGAAGATCCTGTGTTTGTAGAATTGTATTTTCATGATAAAATAGACAAATACTTCAAAGTTTTGCAATTGGATCGAACAATGGTTACTCCAGTAAAAGGATGTCGACCAAAAAAACCCTACTGAAGCCAAATTCTGTTTTTCTCCTCCTTCTAGAGTAGTCTTCTTGAAGTTAGCAGGAAATGAGACACAAAATTACAGCTATTGAACACCAGAGAAAAAATGGAGGGTTCATTGCCCACAATATCTACTTGTCAGGATATATACATAAATAAAATACACATGCTCTCCTTATTATATCAATTTTGACTCTACAAATCATAGTTGGATAACAAGGCATAAGTTAATTATCAAAACTTTTCCCATCTCCCACACTACCAGGGGTAAAGTACAATCACCTTGAGAGATTTCAGTGAAATCCACATAATGAAAAAACAACAACAACAACAACAATAATAAAACTTTATTTGTACCCCGCTACCATCTCCCCAAGGGACTCGGTGCGGCTTACATGAGGCCAAGCCCGCAATACATCAATAAACAGAACATCAATAAAATAAAACATCAATAAACAATCAATACAATATAAATCATAATCACATTAACAAAATAGAGAATAAGCAATCAACAGTAAAAAATCAAGTCACTGACTCTTTTCTACATTTTAACACTCAGAAATTGGCACACAAAGGAATGGATTACTTTGCTCAGTAGTAATTGCCTTGTGTGTTAACTCTTTAATGCTGTACCTCTTCAAAGTCGAACATCTTTCTCTCTTTCAGATATATGATGAAATAGAAATATTTCCTTTGAGTTTCTTCCATGTCCAACTCACTAAGAGTGATGGTGTAGCTGATTTCGGTAAGTCTGATGCTTTCAAATTATACAAAACTATACAAAATACGAATTTGATGTAATAGGAATCTCTTAGTTGGAGTAGAACAAGTGATGAAATATTACAGAAACAAAATCTTATTTTAAGAATTGTTGTAAGATGACAAATGTGAAATGTTACATCTTTTTAAAAAACTTCAGGATTTGCAGTAACTGCACAAGTTGATGATCAAGAGCATCTCAGCCATATCTTCGTGAGTGATGTTCTTCCTGATGGGATGGCTTACAGGGAAGGTTTGTGCTGTCTCTTTAAATCTAAAATCTTTCCTGCTGAGGTACATACTGCATTTAACAAAGAGATAATTGCTCCACATTTTTCCATCTTGCCCTGTCAGTTTTTGTGACAGACTATAAGATTGATGCTGTTCCTCCTTTTTAAAAGGAGTATTTTTAAAAATTCTGCCTTACACATGACAAAATAAAAAAGGGAAAGATTGGTAGGATTCTTGTGGCACCTTTCAAATTCTTTCTTTCTTTTTTAATTTTGAAACAGACTAACATAGAATTTTGAGATTTACACTTTAGAGCTTTTCTTACACAGATGTGAGCATTATGTATAGAAAGGTGTACAGATACCTGTCTGGTTTTTGCCAGGTGTATTCTTGTTGGGAGGGTGTTTTGGCTGTAGGTTCCAAGGCACTTTTCATATGAAACAAGCAGTGTTTAAACTTCGTTGGATCCAAATATGGCTTTCCAACTAGAATATACCTGTGTAGCTGAGGTGCCACCACTGAGAAGGCCCTGTATCTCGTCCCCACCAATCATGCCGGAGGAGGTGGGATGGAGAACAGGGCCTACCCAGGAGATCTTAATCTCCTTGCTGGCTCACAGAGGGAGATACATTCAGACAGGTAAACATGCTCATCTGTTTGGGTCTGCCAAGATATAGTCTCTAAATCAGCAGTTAAATAGCAGCACTAGTTAGTGCAGTATTTCACCTTGATATGTCAACTCAACTTTTGTCTGCAAATTTTTGGAAATTCCACTTCTGAATGTTTTTGTTTCTAGATCCATTATTACTGCTATTGTATTGTTGAAGTCACAACCTCTGAGGATGCTTGCCACAGATGCAGGCGAAACATCAGGAGAGAATGCTTCTAGAACATGGCCATATAGCCTGAAAAACCAACAATTACTGCTATTGTTTGTCAAAAATTGGCAGGAACCTTGTTAATGGATTATATGGTTTCCAGAATGAAACAGTGATGGCCTTTTTTATGTCTTTCAGACACACAGCTATATTCCTCCTACCAAAAGTAACATTACATGGCAGAGTGTAAAATAAATGATGAAATGGACCAACAGGATTGCAGCCATAATCTTCCATGGCTGTCAAACTCAAGTGCCCATCATCTCATTTCATTATATATTCTTACTGCCAGTTATGCTCATGTCCTGGAAGCATTTAGCTAAGATAAAGCAGCTATTGCTTATTCCACATTTAAGCCAAAATGTGAAGAAAAGGAATTGGAAAAGAGGAATGGGATATTTACTTGGAAAAGAGGGTTTATCACTGTAGAATTAATGCAGTGTAATACCACGTTAGCTGCCACTTTATCTGCTCAATGCTATGGAATTGTTGTAGTTGTAGTTTGGTGAGCCACCAGCACTCTTTGGCAGAGAAGGCTAAAGACTTTGTGATACTACAGCTTCCATATTTCCTTGGAATCAAGTCATGGCAGTTAAACAGGTTTCAAACTGCTTTAATTCAACAGTATAGTACCCTACTTCATATAATTCAACCGGCATATGAAAGATTACTTTTTTAGACACTAAATTTATTGTCCTCTTACTGCCTCATAATAAATTGAATTCTCAGAGCCTTTCCCTACTTTTTCACTCTTTCATAAAGAACCAGAATGCTGTCTTTAGTTGACAGGTGTCAATGTTGATAAAGTATTTGCTCAAGTCATTCTTTCATCAAAATCCATTCCAAGATGTTTTAGCTAGTAAGATGAAGGTAATGCTAAATGTTTTAATAATCAAGTGTGCTCTGTGTCACGTTTAGCATCTCTGACGGTTAGCATACCTCCTGCTTAGCCTTCTTTTCCATTCTTGTTCTCATGCTTCCAGGGCTGCGTGTTGGCAACGAAATCTTGGTTATAAATGGAGAGTCTGTATCTGATCTTGACCTCAGGCAGATGGAGTTATTGTTCTCTGAGAAAAGTGTGAAACTGACTTTGACTACAAATATCAGCTGCCATGCAAATGCATTATGCACCACATGGTCAGATGGGGATGTTTCCAGGGAAGGAAGAAACTTGTTGCCCCCTCCTAACCAGTCTCAACTCCTGGAAGAATTTCTGGATAACTTCAAGGAAAATACAACAAATGGTGAGATGGTGCTTGATATATTGGCTGTATGATGCAGAAACAGACATGTTTCTGCATCTTATCAAAGTTAGTTGATTTCAAACTATGTAAGGAGGCATTACCATGTGTGTGACTACATTTTTCTATGTCTAAATGGCTAGATACAGTTATTTTTAGTACTATCTAAATTCCATTTTTCAGTAATGATTTCCTAGAAAATAAATTAAAACAAAAAAATTGGTTTTTAAACCAGAAATTTTTTTAACAATTATAAATTTCTGACAACATCCAGATGATCCACTTTGAACTGAGTCTACACTGCCATATGATCCAGTTCAAAGCAGATAATCTGGATTCAGAAACTGGATTATATGGCGGTGTAGATGGTGCCTAAAATTACCAGCCTCTTATGGAATAGTTGATGAGTGGGTTGCTGTGAGTTTTCCGGGCTGTATGACCATGTTTCAGAAGCATTCTTTCCTGACATTTTGCCCACATTTATGGCAGGCATCCTTGGATGTTGTGAAGTCTATTGGAAACTAGGCAAGTAGTTTCCAACTGACTTCACAACCTCAGAGGATGCCTGCCATAGATGTGGGTGAAACATCAGGAACATGGCCATACAGCCCCAAAAACTTACAAATCCAGCAGTGAAAGCCTTCGACAACATATTTGATGAGCGTTACTCTAATATGCTACATTACTCTGATATGCGTATTACTAGGATTTTTATCTAGGAAAGCAGTATTTTAGCCAGTGGGAATAAAGTAATTAAAAATATCTGGTATTGCATTGTGATAGATTTCATAAAATCTTATAGCAAAATGTGTATTGAAGTGGCTAACACAAATCTTTGTGGATGCACCTTTATATAACTAACTATATGGAATGGAGGCTCAGGGATGCCTTCATTTTAAAAGCTACCAAATGGCCTCCAACCAACCTTCCAAATTCTATGGCAATTTTAATGAAATGTCATTGAAGAAAGCTTGTTATGATTGATTTAATTGTAAAGCATCTTTTATTAGGTCATCTTTAAAATTAAAATAATGAATTGCAAGATTTGTGGAACAGTTAGTCATAACTTTATTGTGGGTTTTTATTCAATTTAAAATACTATTAAATTGACTGTTGGCATACAGAGTCTCATGCCATAAAACAAAAATTACGAAGCTAATTAATTACAGTTCACTTATCTTATTAGCTTGATATTATAGGCCAGCATTACCTGTTGTATTCAGCATTGTAAATGTATGTGCCCGTTTGCCAGATTCATTATTCCTTAGGGATACATTTTGCAGCTTGTGTTAAGCTATTCTTTTATGTTAAGAATTGTGACAAAATATATTCCTAGACACTAAAGGACAAAGGTATTTTAGAATTAGTTGACAATATGGAGAGCAAACATGGCAGCCATGTGTACTATGAGATACTGGAAATTATTCTGACTTAATCTCTGTGAAAGAGTCTTGTCACATTTATCAAATTATAGAGTGTTAGCATTTAGTTTATGATTTTTTCAAGTGGCATCTTAATAGAAATAAATGGAAATGGCACAGCTTTGACTGAATTCATCATTTTAATGGATTTACCCTTTTGCCCTCATGTTCTCTCTTATTTTGTGTCCTATTTTATCTGCATTGGCCTAGAAGACTCTGGGATGAAATAGTGGAACACTTCACTAGTCCTGATACATTGGGTTCTGACATTTCAGCTTCTGATTTCTTGTGCTTATTTTCCAAACCTATGTAGGGGATTGCTAAAAATACAAAAATCTACATGTGCTAAGACTAGGTTCCTGTCTAAAGTCAAATATTTTTTGTTAAGAAGTGTGGCTGTTCAGATTGTTTTCTTAGACTTAAAAATAGGATGTGAGGGTAAAAGCCCAACCTCTTAGAATTCTCTGAATTTGTTCTTTCTTTGCCCTTTTTATTTATTTATTTAGAAGATTTATACCCCGTCCTTCTCAACCTCCAAAGAGGGACTCAGGATGGCTTCCAACAGGCAACTATTCACTGCCGACACATTATAATAACATAACATAAAATACAATTAGCATACACTGAAAACACTTATAAATATACATTAAAACAGTTGGCTGGTTCAAATTGTCATCCAAATCAGTCCATTGCGGTCCACTAAAACCTTATCATCATCATCATCATCATCATCATCATCATCACTTTATCAGGAGAAGTTGACAAGAGGGTTTGGGGTTCATTGTGACCTCTGATCTTCAGTGTGCCTTACCTCCCTCCCCCAATTTCTGGCAATAGACCTTTCTTGGGCCAGAGTAGGAATAGCTAACCCTCCAGATATTGAACAGCAACTCTGACATATTAGCCATGGTTGATGGTAAACAATGCTTGGAGTTGCAGTACAACATCTGGAGGGCTACATGCCTTCTGCCCTTGCTCTGCTGGGTCCAGAAAGGTCATAGCAGTCCATTCCTCCCCACCAAGCAGCCGATTTAAAGTGACTACTTTAGTCAATCAGATGGGGAAAAAAGTAATAATTGGGCCATCATATCCCATTAAAAAGTTGGAGAGACAGTGGGCTTTTGATCACTGGAAATTGCCCACTCCTAACCTAGAGTGCATCAAAAGAAAAACAGAAGTGTATAATATTAGAAAGAAGAAACCGTATAAGCCTTAGGAGGATAAGGATTGCCACAGCTGCAAATATAGCAAATGGTTCAAAGAGAATGAATATTCTAATAATTGAACTTTAAAACTGGTGAGGGTGAAAGTCAAAAGCAATATTAATGCAGTAAATCATCACAAAATATAAGTCTCTATGTAGAGGCTAGGGCAGGTCAGATAATCCTCTCTGTCAGCAATAATAGAAGATTTTGTTCATGTATCAAGAGCAGAGATACATGGTAACATGCTAATCTTTATTCATAAATGGTCTAAAATATGTATTATTATTTATTTATTTACCATATGTATACCCCACCTTTCTTGCCCCGCAGGGAACTCAAGGTGGCTTACATGTATAAGCAGCAATTCAATGCCATACAAATATACATAATAAGATAAACATATACATTAAACAATCATTAAAACATATCGAAATTTTAAAACCACTTATTTAAAATCAAGTAATCCAGTATCACAATCCGTGGACGTTCCAAATTGTCATTGCACTTTTCCATATTCTCTTATTGCACTGATAGATTACTAATTGAACACTTGGTCCCACATCCATGTCTTTAGCCTTTTCCTAAAAATGATTTATTTCAAACTTATTTTGTGCCAGCTGATGATACAAAATCAAAACAGGAAGAAAAGAAAGAAAAAAGGGAGTAAACTTTTCGGATGACCTGGAAACTTATTGTTCCTTCAATTGGCTGAACATGACTGAAGCTTGAGCATTTTATTTTCCAAGTTGCCCACTTGCTACCATCTGTCAGCTGAAGCATTTCATTTCCTTGTGAATCATGCTTTGCTTATATAAGAAGGCTGATAAGTAAACTGCTTATAATAACAAGTTCATGGATGCAATTTTTAAAATGTGGTTCCCAAAACTGTACAGACCATCCCTTGCAGCAAGTGGTTTGACAAAGCCAGCAAAAGTGAAGAACCAAGCCAGCTATTGCCCCCAGTAAACTACCAAAGGTTTGTGCTAAACTGAGTCAGACAGACTCTGCTCACCCATCCCTTCCTCCAATTTTGTCAACTTCTCTTGATAGGGTGAAAGTAGACATAAACTTTGTGTCCAATCAAGCTACCAAGGAATCCTAGAAGCCAGGAGCAGTAGCATAGCGCTTCGTACAAATGCTGTGCATGTATGCTAGTGCCATACATATTCCCCAAAACGTTTGGGGATATTCCCTCTATGTGCAATACTCATGTGTGCACCCAGTATGCTTATGCCATGGAAGTTGTAATAAGTATATTAAGGGAGTGATGAGATTGGGTTTTTTTAATTTAAAAAGTCCCAGTTTTCTCCCATAATTGTATCAAAAGTCATCCATGATGTGTCATCTTTCCATGAAGATAGAAAACCTTAGACCCACTCCACAGGTCTTTGTGATAATTAAACATGGAGAAATATAAGTTGAGATGTGATAGTTGAGATGGGGCAATAAAAGAGGAAAGACATCTTGTGTGGATGGTTGTCTTTGTGCCATTTTGTTGTTGTGTCTCATTTGGGTGACAAATAGAAATTGGATGTATGGATAGGTGTGTTGGTATGCAAACAGTCTCTCTCACATGCACACACACACACACAAACACACCCTGTGAGCCTCCATGGGGCTTACTTTGTGTTATTACTGAATTTGAGACACTGTGGTATAGTGGTTTGAGTGTTGAATTAGGACACTGAAAGTCCAGGGTTTGAATCCCTGTTCAGCCATGGAAACTCATTCACAGGAAGACAAATCTTTTTTAAAAAAAATGTGCAAAAAAGGAGAGAAAAAAAGGGGGGGGGGAGGAATAACTGTGATAGCCTTGTTGTTTATTTGTTCAGTCGCTTTGTGACCTCATGGATCAGCCCACGCCAGACCTCCCTGTCGACAGTCACCACCTGCATCTCCTTCAAGGTCAAGCCAGTCACTTCAAGGATATCATCCATCCATCTTGCCCTTGGTTGGCCCCTCTTCCTTTTTCCTTCCATTTTCCCCAGCATAATTGTCTTCTCTAAGCTTTCCTTTCTTCTCATGATGTGGCCAAAGTACTTCATCTTTGCCTCTACTATCCTTCCCTCCAATGAGCAGTCGGGCTGTATTTGCTGAAGTATGGACTGATTGGATCTTCTAGCCTTTGTTTTGCCTTAAATCTGAAATGTCTTAAAGGCCACATAATGAGAAGACAGGAAAGCTTGGAGAAGATAATGATGCTGGGGAAAATGGAAGAAAAAAGGAAGAGAGGCCAACCAAAGACAAGATGGATGGATCATATCCTTGAAGTAACTGGTTTGACTCTGAAGGAGTTGGGGGTGGTAACAGCCGACAGGGAGCTCTGCCATGGGCTGGTCCATGAGGTCACGAAGAGTCAGAAGTGACTGAAAGTGAC